CACCAACAACAAAAGCTTTGTTTTTAGCTGCATTCCCATGGTTGACCTAGCTGCATTTCTTAACATCTAAGGTGATCGTCTTCGTATCTGTTTTATGTTGGTGTTTTCCACGTGTGGTTTTGCTGACGATCCATTTATCAGGTTCATTTCATCCTGTTACGTGGAGAATTTTATCCACATTCGAGTTTTTCTATTTTTTTTAATTAAGATTATCTTTTTTTTTATACATATTGATTGAATTATTCTATTCTTAAATATTCTTAATTTTAGATTTATTTTAAAATATTATTAATCATAAATCGATATGTGGTACTGTAAAATAATTTTTTTGAAAAAATAGAGATGAGGGGTTGATTATTGGTTAATAATATTATAATGAAAGAGTTAAAGTAAAAAATTTTGGATATTGGGCAAACAGCAATTGTTGACCCAAGAATATCAAACCCTAGGGTTTTGAACCCTATCTATCTATATATATCCCCATGAGAAAGAAATGATGGTTTACTATTTACTAATATTGATTGAAATACTATTCGTGCAGATTAATTAGTATTATTTACAGAGACTTATTTGTATTATTCTTTTCATCTGTATAATAGTATTTTTATGATTTTTGAGTTTTTTTTGGGTATTTATATACAAATTTAACTTTGTATTCTATTTTGATCCTTGATGTTTTTAAAAGACATTTTTGGCCTCTAGATGGACCAAGCACAAATGCTGGCCTTTTTTTTTTTTTTTTTTTTTGCTTCTTTTTTTTCCACATAATTTATTTTATTATTTAATTGTATGTAAAAATAAAAAAAAATAATTATTATTATTTATTTTGGTCTCTATATGGACCAATCATACATGCTTGCTTTCTTTTTTTGGCTTTTTCTTTAGTTTTTTTTTCTACCAATTTTTTTTTTATTGTTGAATTGGATGTAAAAATTATGAAAAAATAATTATTATTTTGTTTGGTTTTCCATACAGACCGGTAATTATGATATATATATATATATATTAAAATTAATTTTTTTAATTTGTTGATTCTTATGAAAATTCTTATCAAATTAATTATGCATATACACAAATAACACCAACCATTTGCTATTAATATTTTTTTAATATTTTAAAAGAACTTAATAATAATTTAAATATAATTTTTATACTAATATTATTAATTATTTTCTAAATAAATATATGCAAATCAAAAGTATATATTTTTAAAAAGTTATTCTTCTCGTCGGCATTAAAGAAGAATAAAAAATATTCATTTATTAATCTTTATACATTTTTTTATATTAATTTTTGTTTTATTTCTTCAACACAATCCTGTGAAAACAATTTTAAGATATTTTGTAAAATTTTATGTTTAGATTATTATGGATTTTTATTTAAGAATGAATGTATAAAAAAGAACAAGTCTTGTTTTTTAACTACAAAATTCATTAAAAAAAAACATAAAGAAAAATAAATTAAATAAAAATTTTGATTAGAAATTATGAAATTAATTTTATGATGCTAAAAAAATAATAGTAAATTGTTGGTGTTATGTGTATAAAAGCATGTTAATTTTTAATAAAATCAATAATTATGTTTCAACCAATGAGATAAACTTTTAACACATAGTATATGACCCATTCATGACTATGGTATGTGATAGGCCGAACATATTTAAAATTCTCGATTATGTTTTTGTTCACACCACTCCAAAATTAGATAACTTTATTCTCGTTTTTTTTTATATAAAAAAAACAATATATATATTTTGACAACCAATGAGATAAACTTTTTAACACATTGTATAACCCATTCATGACTATGGTATGCCAAAAAGACAAACATGGATATAACATGAAAATTAAATATATTTCCTCTACTCTTGATGTTTTAACTTCAATTTATTAAAATTCATATTATTCATTTGATTATCAGCAAGTTATTTTTAATTTTTTTTTAATGGAATATTGCAAGAAACTAAACAAATTATATAGTAGAAGAAAAATAATAGGTTTTAGTCTTTTTTTTTTTTAAATACAGAATTTAAATGTGAGAAAAACCCATCAGAACAAAGAATTAATTTTTGAAAGTGACCATTTATATACTAGATGATTATGTGAAAAATGGTATGATTTATAAACAGATCATCCATGTCGAAAATACTACAAATTCAAAGAGAGAATATTTTTCACTACCGAAGCCATTAGATAAATTAGAATCATGCTAAAGATAAACTTGATATGGGAATTTGACTGTTGTAGCACAAATATTACCAAAGACAAGAGTGGATCAGTCCCTTTTTGAAATCAAAGCAACTTAGATAAGAAAGAAAAGAGGCCCATTCCTTGGATATTGGGCAAACAGCAATTGTTGACCCAAGAATATCAAACCCTAGGGTTTTGAACCCTATCTATCTATATATATCCCCATGAGAAAGAAATGATGGTTTACTATTTACTAATATTGATTGAAATACTATTCGTGCAGATTAATTAGTATTATTTACAGAGACTTATTTGTATTATTCTTTTCACTGTATAATAGTATTTTTATGATTTTTGAGTTTTTTTTGGATATTTATATACAAATTTAACTTTGTATTCTATTTTGATCCTTGATGTTTTTAAAAGATATTTTTGGTCTCTAGATGGACCAAGCACAAATGCTGGCCATTTTTTTTTTTTTTTTTTTTGCTTTTGCTTCTTCTTTTTTTCCTCACAATTTATTTTAATTTTTTATTATTGAATTGTATGTAAAAATTATAAAAAATAATAATTATTTATTTTAGTCTCTAGATGGACCAATCACACATGCTTGCTTTCTTTTTTTTGGCTTTTTCTTTAGTTTTGTTTTCTAGCAATTTTTTATTATTATTGTTGAATTGAATGTAAAAATTATGAAAAAATAATAATTATTTTTTTCGGTTTTCCATACGAACGAGTAATTATGAAATATATACGTTATGTTTTCATATATATATATATATATATATATTAATTTTTTAATTTGATGTTTCTTATGAAAATTCTTATCAAATTAATTATGCATATACACAAATAACATCAACTATTTGCTGTTAATATTTTTTTTAATATTTCAAAAGAACTACCTAATGATTTAAATATAATTTTAAAAAAAATTATTTTTCTCGTTAGCATTAAACAAGAATAAAAAATATTCATTTGTTAATCTTTATAAAAAAATTTATATTAATTTTTTTTTATTTCTTCAACACAATCCTGTGAAAACAATTTTAAGATATTTTGTAAAATTTTATATTTAGATCATTATGGATTTTTATTTAAGAATGAATGTATAAAAAAGGACAAATCGTGTTTTTTAACTACAAAATTCATTAAAAAAATATATAAAGAAAAATAAAATATATAAAAATTTTGATTATAAATTATGAAATTAATTTTATGATGCTAAAAAATAATAGTAAATTGCTGGTGTTATGTGTATAAAAGCATGTTAATTTTTAATAAAATCAATAAAGAGATAAACTTTTAACACATAGTATATGACCCATTCATGACTATGGTATGTGATAGGCCGAACATATTTAAAATTCTCGATTATGTTTTTGTTCACACCACTCCAAAATTAGATAACTTTATTCTCGTTTTTTTTTATATAAAAAAAACAATATATATATTTTGACAACCAATGAGATAAACTTTTTAACACATTGTATAACCCATTCATGACTATGGTATGCCAAAAAGACAAACATGGATATAACATGAAAATTAAATATATTTCCTCTACTCTTGATGTTTTAACTTCAATTTATTAAAATTCATATTATTCATTTGATTATCAGCAAGTTATTTTTAATTTTTTTTTAATGGAATATTGGAAGAAACTAAACAAATTATATAGTAGAAGAAAAATATGCTTCTTTATTATTGATGATTGTGATTTCTTACTATTAGAGGATAGGTTTCACGCTGAAAATGTCGTTTTATTGAGCTGTTGGCATTCTTTGACGCTCAAATATAAATGTTTCAAAATCCAATATCTTACATAAATAATAAAAGCAATTTACAATTCCGACTCGAGTTGCCGTTTCAATTTAAAATATGTATCTTCTTTTTTATTTTAAAATTTGTTTATTCTACATTTTTTATGTCAGATTTAGTTTAAGAAAAATAAAATAACTTATGCCTATTAATTGTTCCATTCGTTACGTTCTTTTTTCTTTTATTGTTTTGAATATTTTATTATATATATTTTTTTCTTTTTGAAAAAAAAACATATTCCATTTAAACCCAGTTTTTAACCATTTGTACTATGGAAAAGAAATAAAAATACTTGTACTATTGAAAAGAAAAGAAATAAAAATAAAGAAATCTAATCTCACTAGCATAATATATATATATATACATATATATATATGAATGAGTGAAGGTTATTGAGATCCTACTAAATCTAACGTTTGGATTATTAGTTCTTGAACCTATCTAACTAATAGGGCAATTGATCATGGATTAGAAAATGATGTTTCAATCCTAAATTGCCACAAAAACAACCTTTAGTCCTTATAATTTTCGGCTTCCAAAGCTATACATTTTGCCCCTTCCTGTTTAATAAGTTTATTTTTCCATTCCATTCCAACTCATGATTCAAAAGAAAATACATTCCTCAGTTTCTGGAATCAATGCAACTTTGCTCAGAAGATGGAAAAGAAAATAGATATGTTATATAACCAACTTTTCCAGCAACCCACACAAAAAAAAAGTCCATTCCTTGGATATTGACCGAACACAACTGTTTACACAAGAATATCACACTAAGGGTTTCATGGCTTATCCCCAACTTCTAATGCCCCATAAAATAAAAACAGGCATGTGCTATGCAGGGGGTTGTATTCAAAGCATCTTCATGCATAAATGTTCCTACAGACACACGTCCTCATAGCTACAACATATACAAATTGATCTGAAAACCTACACAGATTGAACTGATATTATCATGCTGTGCACGCACCTCTTGCTAAGACGCATTTGTCGTCATTTGTCATCTCCTCGCTCGAGAAGGCTCTCTGTGTTGTAACTACTGCCCCATGCCCTCTCCCTCCATATCTGCTCTACTTCAAAGAATGTCAACCCCATGGTCTCTGGGACAAACACAATCACAAACACAACTGCAAGGACTGCTATGCCAGCAAGAATCAAGAAAGTCCAACTTGTTCCGATTGCATCAGCAATTGAAAGGAAAGATTGGGCGACTATCAAATTGGAAATCCAATTCACAGTAGCTGACATGCCCCCACATATTCCTCGGTATTGTTGGGGATATATCTCAGAGTTCACAGTCCATGGAACAGGTCCCATTCCTGGTGAGAAGAAAGCAATATACAAGGCTAAACCCAAAACTGCAATCCACCCGAAAAGTACATTTGAAGAACCAGATGACTTGCCAAAAAATGCCCCAGCAAGAAGGACCAGTGATGCAATTACACCAGCTAAGCTTGAGAGGGCCAACTTTTTCCTCCCAAAATGATCAATAAGGTAAATGCCAAGAACTGTTCCAGCAGCATTCATGGCAGCAACAATGAGGGACAGAAGAAGTGCTAATTGGTTGGAACTAAAGCCAGCCATCTGCACGATGGTTGGGCTATAGTACATGACTGTATTGATACCAGTGAACTGCTGAAAAGCCTGCAACATTACAGATCTGTTGGTTATTATATGTTATAGTGCCTGTTAAGGAGGTTTCTATTTGCTGCTGACATTTTGTCTAGCTCGTGCCTCTCTCCGCGTTTTGCCTGGACACTCATGTATTTCATTGGAAAGAATATAAAGAAAACCACTTAAACTCAAACAATAACCCAAATTTACGTTCAATAAGAAGCAAGGGACTCAATATAGATATAAAGGCGATAGCTCACACATTTGAAATCTAATTCTTGAAAAAAGAAAAAAGAGTTAGACAAGGACCTTTGAATCAAAGCAACCAAAATTGATGCAATGCCAGATTTCTGTATTCAGTAGCCAGCAAAAGAATCAATGGGGAAACCAAATGATAGTCAAGAGACTCAGATCTTGTTAAAACACTCGTGATGCCATCTTAAAGGCAGACATAGAGGAATCTAAAGACATTTATGAAAAAATTACCATATAGCTCAGATCATACAATAACTCTCATAATTCCAGCAGCAGATTAGATTGCTACTGGAAAAAAATTATTATTTTCCTCACGGAAAATACTGGCAGATGAGGGGATAACCTGGTGCATAAACTGATTGCAAGTTTGCAAGATTAGCGATGATGCATGCAAGCCAACTTGTTTTAGCAGCACGTCAAATAATTAATGTCAGTCATTCTGAGGCAGCAAAGGAATTTAGTAGATGAGGGGGATTTGCAGATATTACCTGAAGCCCAGCTCCAGCAAAAAATGCAAGTCTGATTTCTTTTGATTTGAACACATCTGAGATTTTGACATCTTTCCTTTTTTGGCGCTCTTCGTCTGCAGCAGCAGAAAGGTTATCAATTTCATCCTCCAACCGCTCAATTTCATATATTTTAGAAAGTATTACGATGGCTTTAGCTTTGTCGTCCTGCATATTCAGATCAATATTATATAGATGCTAATGCGTGAAGAGAAAAATAGCTTATGTTAAAACAGCAGTCAGAAAGTATTTTCTTCAAAAAAAAGTTCATTGTGTATACCTTCATAAAAAGCCACCGAGGAGACTCTGGCAAGCATAACATAATGCAGAACTGAATCACAGCGGGTATACCAGCAACTCCAACCATCCACCTCCATGTTCCAGGGACCTATCAAAGCAATAACAACATTAGAAAGCCATGTGGTATGGAAGAAAAAACAAATCTTAAAGTACAAAAAGAACGACCATTTGATGCCCTAAAATACCCATGAATTTTATCCTTTAGTATTTTCTATGAATTAAATTATTTCCAAATTTGTGGAGCAAATAAAATTTTAATTTGCAACCCAAGAATTTAGCCAATTGCTGGGTAGATTATCAAAAGTTTGAACCTTCAAAGTAGTACACCAACCTAAAGCAATTTTCTCCTTTACTAAAACTGAGATCAAACTCTGGATGCTGTATCTATGCTTTAATACATTCCATGACTTCTCTTTTAGCTTTGGCATTAAGGCAGTGCCAAAAGAAATTTTAAACCAACAAGGCTACAATGTATTATGAACATTAACTTTTCCATGATGGACAAGAACAAATTATGAGGCATAGCTGGAACAAGAGAAGATATGCAGATAAAGGTTGAGAGCAGAGATAAAAGGCAAACATCTTGTTAATCAGTTCAAAAACTTGGATACTATTACCTAACTATGAGGAATTTTTTAGGGCTGACCAAGCATATCACTATGCTAATGCCAGGTACAAAGGACCACATCATGCCTTCAACATGAAGAACAGAAAATAAGGAACATAAACTCAAGAAAACATGACTTCAGATCAAATTCAAAAAATCCAACAGAATGTAGCAGTCAGTGCTTAAAAGTTTTCCAAGAGAGAAATCCATCAATAGCCAATACCGTTCAAACTCTTAAAGAGGAAAAACCGCTTCCTTCAGCAGGTTACAAAAGGGGCGCTAATGTAAACAGTTTCCCCTAATCTTTGATAAGAAAAGCTCTGCGGATGTTCATAAAAAATTTCTATAACTGAAGAGTGAAATTCTTAAGAAATGCCTCAATTCTTTCGTATTATGTTTCTACAAATAATTGGAAGTAAGATACAGAAACTTCGTAAAGATGCCTGCAGGGGAAATAACCCATGTTATTTTATTTTACCGTCAACATGTTTGCTACTACATATGAGTAGGTAAACAGGGTCTAACAAGAAGGAAAACCAGATTTATGCATAAACAGTATATGCCATAAACATAAGGGGGAAAAAAAGAAGAAGAGCTAAGTTATCTTATTATCAAGATGATTTTGAGGCAAAAGGAATTTGTCACATGCCATTAGCAACCAGGGTACCATGGATGATCTAAATTAGCCAGGACAGAGAAGGAGACTCCTTCAATGAGTTTCACAGTGCCAAATCTTAAAAAGATCCCCCAATTCTATCTTGCTGTCTCTTCAAGCTGCACAATGGAAAACCTTTCACAAAAGAGTATATATAATGAAAATAACACAATGTCTCTTGGCAATAACACTGCATCTAAAAGTCGAACCATTGCAGCAATTTGTTACTTACGAGAAGCCATTATAGAATTGCTTTGTACATAGAAGTTAGAATTTTGTACTCTCAAGATCACATGATCTACTGCCAATTACTTAATTAAATGTCTTTCACAGTTCCCCACCCTAACACACAATTAAAAGTTTTCTGTTTTCCGTTTCACATTTTCTCATAATGAGGAGAAAACTTTGTACAAGTAAGCATCCCAATGCTACTTAGACTCCTTCACTACCAGTATTATGAACTAATTTGACAATAAACCATGTATGTAATTATACTAGCGTTTCTTTTGTTCTAGAACATAATGAAGAGACGGGAGAGCCCTCTTTTGCTTAAACTGACATTCAAGTAACCATGTCAACCACTGATCTTTACTGTATTTGTAACATAGAAGACCAAGTGAACATAAAAAGAAACATTAGTGAGAACTGTATCAGATAGAAAGAATACCGGAATTTCATGAAAACATTTTTACAGGCGGAGAATCACTATCTTCCAATAGACAAATGTTTTTAGGCAGGATGCCAAACTGTATTCAAACAAACTGCAAAATAAAGGCAAAGGTTAAACTGACCTCAGTAAAAGCAAGATTTACGAGATAGGAAAGAAACTGTCCACCGGTAATCATAAGAACATTTGTGCTCACCAACCCTCCTCTTACTTCTGACGGAGATGCTTCTGCAATATATACAGGAGCAGTAACGGATGCTATACCCACACCCAGGCCAACAAGAAACCGTCCCAGTATAATAACATAGGGATTTGGGGCGGCTGCCATAACAACTGATCCAACTGCAAAGACAACATCAGCAAGAAGGGTTGCTTTCTTGCGTCCATATGCATCATTGATCCAACCACCCGCTGCAGCTCCTATTATTGCACCAACCAATGCCATACTAACAATGGTTTCCTGCCAAGTTTAAAATTCATTATGATGGATAACCATCAAGACCTCTAGATTACAACTTAATCGTTGACATTTATTTGATCGTTTGAAATTTTTAGTAGTTCTGATAAATTTCACTATTTCTCATTTAGTAATTAAAGAAGTTGTCACTGGAAATTCAGTTCAACTTCCTATTTAACCAGTTTTCCTCACTTTTCAGGGGGAAAAAAAAAGAGAGAGAGAGAGAGAACAACACAGATTAAAGCTCGTGCAAGACTCAGAAACCCATCATCACACCAACCAATGTCATGCCAACAGTTGTTTCCTGTCGAGTAGAAAAATCATTGTGATGATGGATAACCAATCAAGACCTCAAGATTTATAACATAATAATCTAATTTTTTTTATTATTCAAGTGTTTTAGTTCAGGAATTTTATTATTTCCGTTTCTGTAATTAAAGCAGTTCTTATTACAAATTCCGTTCTACTCCCTATACAATGGTTATTCTAGCCTTTTTTGATAAATCCCATCAAAGAAGAACACAATGTCAAATCTTTAGCAAGAAATGACAAAAATCATTACCTGTAAAAAACTACTCTGATTAACCACCTCAAATTCATCTTTTATGTACAAAAGAGCCCCTGAAATTACCCCTGCATAACCAACATTTCCTCATCAAATAACACATCCTCTAATTCTTAACAAATCAAAACACTCATTTGGTAATTTTTTTTTTTGGGGGGAACAAAAACCAATTTAACAAACGTTCGATTTTTTATTTTTTTTCTTTTCCTGACAGTATAAAGATTGAGACAGGAAACCGAAAGGATAGCACAAAAAAACAAAGAAAAGAAAATCAATGTTTACCTGTATCGTAGCCAAAAAGGAGACCACCAATGCCTGCAGCAACAGTCAATCCAATTACATAAGAATTACTAAAATATGACATTCTTCTCTCCGGAAACATATCTAAATACCCTGAACTTCCCGGCAAGTAACTGGAACTTCCCGATGGGGACTGGATCGTCATTGTCCTCTCTTTCAATCAATAAAAAACCACCAACCCAAAAAAAATATAAATTAAAGAGAAGGGCTGGTAGTAGGTAATGAAACAGTGATTAAGAAAACAAATTGGAGGATTAAGGAGAGGAGAGGCTTAGTGATTAATAAGGAATTGAAGGTAATCCTTCTGATTAGATCAGATGAATCTAGTCTAATCTAATCTAATGAAGGTTAGGTAGGTGAAAAAAAGCAAAAGCAAACTGAGGTTTGCCCTTCTGGGTTTTGTGATTGGATACAGAGAATCTGCGAGAAAAATTGAATGTAGAGATTTTCTTTCAGAAAATTTTGGACAGAAAAGTAAGGAACTTAGACTCGACAGCGAGAAAGTGTAAAATATTTATAAAAGGAAAAACGTGACAGCAAGTTTTGACACGCAAGTTTTCATTTATTTTTCTCGCTCGCCGATAGGTTTGTAACGTTGGAGAAAACAAAAGACAACTAGCTTGTCTGAAAATGATGATTGGGTACTTTTCTAAAATAACAGACCAATGGCTTGAAGAATTAGTCAAGTGGTGAAGGAAGGGGAAAAACTAAATTTTTCCAAGAGCGTTGGACCATCGAGAAACTAATTTCTCACCCATTTTTTCTCGTTTGGGTATGGATTACTGGTTTTTTCACAGGAAAATTAATTGGGACCAAGATTTTATGTAATTCAAATCATGATCATGAATTCTTTTTTAATCTTCACGTAAATGGTTTATTTTTACGTATCATAAAACAGAAAAATAATTCAAAATAGAATAACACTAATTAACGATGATGTGATAAGCAATAAATACGTTATTAAAGCTGATGAACTAGATATTTGTGTGATTTAATTATTCATCAAATGGCTAAGAGCAACATATTTTAAAAATGAAAAACATCACATAATTTCAAAGTTTATTAACATGTTGAATTTAGTTTTATTGTCGTTTAAATTTTAAATAAATCCAAAGGCAAGTCGTAAGTTATTGGCTTAGTAATAAATAAGATGATCTATAGAAGAATTTATATTTAACATAATTAGTCATATTTTTAATATTTTTGATGTAAGATAAAAATATTTGAAGAAAACAAAAATACATAAATAATAAGTCCAAAGTCTTATTAACTATGAGTTGTTTTTTTCTTTATTCAATAAGAAATCCATTAAAATATAGGTCTTCGTTTATATAACTGTGTTCTTTTATTAAATTCTTTAAACATAAAGTTTTATAATAAAAAATTAATATTCTAACCATTGATTTTTTTTATAAATTAGCAAGCTAAATTAAATAAAATTCTCGTAAATTTTTTAATTTTGACATGAATAATTTGTTTCTAGCTATATCCGAAAAGTAGATTTAATTTCCATGTAAGAAAGCTAATGCTAAAATTCGTGTGTGCGTGTTGGGTGTTGTAGATTGGGGTGAGTGGAGCTAGGATGATGACCTACCAGTGAGATTAGAGATTTTCTTTATTTTAAGCACGTTATTTATTTCCTTGTTCTGACGTAACCATGTCCACGTGGACTTTAGATAAGGATTCAGACACAAAGCAAATGTACTACCTCGAGATAGAGAAACGAACCTCACTCCTTACGTACAGAACTCTCTCTGTACTCGCCTTTTGGTTTGTTTCGACCCCGCGTTGCAAGTATGGTGTTTTTTGGAATTTCGTAAAATATTTTATTATCGACCGTGACTACCACGCGATATTAGCTCGAGTTCGCTTGTCTTTCTCCGGACAAGTGGAAATTGATGGCTTTTGTTGCCTTGTGCTTTATGGCGCGTGAAGTGCACGTTTTTGATGATTTAGAACTTGTTCATGGATAGAACCATAAACCATTGGTTCTAATCCAGATTATCTGCTGTTAATGAACTAAAACGACTTACACTTTTCCCCATTTTTAAAATTAAGTTTAAGTTCCATTGGGTTAGCTGTTAGAAAGTAGACATCATCAGTCAATTATCATGTGATTAATGTACTTTGTTATCAACAAATTTTGATGATTAACTCGAGCAAAAGAAAATCTAAGAAGTCCGTACCACGGTCAAAAAGCTTTTGCTTTTGAATCATTGAATCATTAGTGTTTTTAAAAATCTATCAAAAAGGTGTATTTTTAATATTTAAGTATCGATTAACTTATAAATTGATTTAAAAATATTTTTTTATTGTAAGGAAATTGATGTATTTTCCTATTTGCAGAAATGGGCCAGCTAAATTGAAAAGGAAAAAGATGGTTTGTGTTATTTCGTTGTTGAAAATGCAACATTCGATGATTTGATTTGAGGTAAATATAGTAATAAGGTTGCAAAAAATTGGAGTCTTCTTTAAAAGAAAATATGATCTTATTGTTCTTTTTTCCCCCAACAATAGGAGCATTTTCACATCTATTTTCATATACCTCAAAATTAATCTATTTTTAAATATAATAAAAAAATATTTTTCAATACAAGATTTCATATATGATGACCTTAATATTTATATGCTTATAAATGTTAATTTTCCTACTGATTATTATGATTAGAACCTACACTGTGAAATTAGATTAATGGCGTGGAAGAATAATCAACGCATGGGAGAAGACATTCGTTGTATCAAAAACTTTCCAATGCCATTCATATGTCTTCTCCAAAACTTGCAATATTGACTTTTAAAAAAACAATAATTCAATTTGTTTTTTATGATAAAATAAATTTTTAATATGTCACCATACTTTTAATCGAGTGAATTTATCATTTAATATAGTTAATTTTAATTTATTATTTTAGTAAGATTTTTAAGTCAAATTATCGAAATTAATCACATAATTTATGTATAATTATTTTTTGTCTCTAAACTTTATTTACAAATAGGACAAATAAAAACCAATTAATGTACAAATCTCATGACTAATTCAAATAATTTAACATAAAAATGTTACTAGATTAATAAAATAAAAACTTAATTTATTGGTTTTGCACATATATTTCGTACAATTCGGTTTTTTTTTAATTGAAATCTTAAGTTTTTTTTTGTCTAATTTAAAAGTTATATTTTTAAATTATTGTTATTTTAGACTCTAATATGTCATGTAAGCATACGTGACAAATTCTAGCCAATAACACCTTGTCACGTATCATGATGGACTCAAATTTGACGATTGAATTGATGACGTGATAAGTTGTCATCGATCAAAGTCCGAAACAAAACAATATAATAATGAAACTCTTAAATTGAACAGAAAAAATTTAAGGTTTCAATCAAATGACTTCGAATTGTATAGGGTGTCAATTACGTAAGATCTCTTGATTTATATTTAAAGATAAAATAAAACCAAGAAAAAAATACAAAGTTACCCATCATTATTGGGTGTTATTGGATCTTCTTAATTTGAAAACCAAATCAAAAGGTGAAGTATTTTCTCATATTTTTAGCTAAATATACAATTCCTCCTTGCAATCCATGTGGAATAATCAAATAATTTTTTCCTTAATACATTAGACCTTAAATTAATTTTTAATCACTTTCACAATCAATAAGGGATAACCTAAGCATCATAACTCGACAAAAAACAACAATGACATGGAATACCATTTCTAGAATCATCATAATCCATGCCTACCAAGATCAATCAACCCCACAAATTGGAGTCGTGGCAAAAGTTTGAATGCTCAGTCTAGGAATGACTAGGTACATGTCCTAATTTCTTAACTTGAAAAAGAAACTTCTAGTAGAACATGGGCCACGGGTTTCCTGCCCTCTTATGGAGTATTTTGAACCAAAAAAAATACTTGTGATTGGAAAGTGAAGCAAGCACCTTCATACATTACGACACTTGTCGTCTATCTCTATTATTTTGAGATTTTAGGACATGGTACTATTGGATAATATTATTGCTCCCGTGATTCCGATCCTGTCTGGTTGCTTACTCAGGCGACGAGACAAAAACAATGACTTTGCTCCTAGACCAACGTATCTTCCTTCTTGCTACCCCCAAAATTGTATGAAAGCAGGATGCTTGTCAAGGAGGTCTCCGACAGAAGTTTATTTTAATTGAATTTAACCCTCAACAAATGAAACAAATTCAATATAAATAAGTCATGATATTGTTCATCGATATTTCTCAAGTTTGATCTTATACATAGAAGTGTATAAAATTCTTTATAAATCCTTTTTGGGTATCGTGTCTCATACTCTCGTCAACTTCTTCTCCCCACTAGCGGAATGGATTCAAGGCCCATTGGGCTGTAGAAATATGCCTTATTGACAGTCATCTTAAAGGGGCAGCAGATTACAATGGATAAAAAGTTCAAAATCCATTGGGCTTGGAAGAGCGGATTTCAATTGATACAAAGTTCACAACCCATTCGGCTTTATAATTCAATAATATTGGGTTGTAAAGCCCAATAATTAAACAATTTGTCACAAAGTTTTTCTTGAACAGTCAATTTTTTATCACTACAATAAACTCACATATTCTTGTACATATGATTTTTTTTTTCCCATATTTTCATGTGATCGATAATTTCTCAACTCAGTTATCTTGTTTTATCATATTGTCGTGCGATTGGTAAACTTTTTAACTTAATTATACTTGGCAAGTCATAAATCATATAGAAAAACTCTTATTCATGAGAATTAAAATTTTCATGATCCATAAAATGCCACAAACTCGGGAAAAAAAAGTGAAAATTGGATTTATCTTTTGGTTTTTTTTTCATTCATATTTTCAGATAAAATTCGAAATTATTCTCTCGTTGTTCGATCGAACTCACGAGTTCGGTTTAACTAACTAATGAGTCTTTTACATATATAAAAACTCAAAATCAAAACCACTTATTTAAATGATTAAAACTTTTTATACTTCAATCAATTCTCTTATATTATTTTCGAGTTTTTTTTTTAACTTGTGTAATGAGATATTCACTGAATTTTATTATTTAAACATAAATAACGTGATACAATTCCAACGATCAAGAGTAATTCTTATTTCGTCGGAAATCTATAATATTGGCTCAGTAGATATGGATTGATGAACCACTTGTTCTATCAATTTTCAAGAATTCTTCCCACAAAGAATACACACACACAATATAATAGTTATTTTGGCTTTGACTATACAATAAGAATAAAATCTGCGTGGATAATCATGCATAGTGACGACCTCATTGAATTCAGTTGAGGAGTATTTTACAACATGCACTAATATAATTTTGTAGAAACAGATAATATCATGACATTTTTTTTTTTTGAAAGAATGTCTAGATAACTTTAAAAGAAGTGGATATTACGTAAAAAATAATGTTTTGTACTTTTTTATAAATTGAATATTCCAGTCACTCTTGATACTATATAATACTGGAATATATAAATACATATACACACACACAATGTTTGAATTTACAAAAAAAAAAAAAAAAATCAGCATACGAACCAAGTTAGCTCAAACTCATAGCAATGAAAGATTTGTCGTAATCGGATAAATAAATATCCGCTTCTTAATAATTCATCTACAATAATTTTTCTTTCGTCCATTTACGGATCTAGCAAATTAATATAATTATACCACACAAGATATATAGTTTTATTTGATAATAATTTGCTCCTACAAAATCCCTCTTCCAGATAATAATAATAATAATACTAACAATTCTGAATCCTAATAACATGAATCGCAGTTCAATAATTTGGACGAGAAATTATGCCAACCTCCAGGCTCTCCAGCATTGACCCATGTGATCCAGTTTGGGAGTTGCTGTTGATCATGAACATCTAGCTACCCAAACCCTGAGTTTGATGGGCCAACCACCTTCAATTTCTTATGCATGCAATGTTCTAGTTGGTCAAATGACCATACGATCGTGTTTTACTATTTCGATTGATGAAAGGATATTTTTAGATTTATATATCAATCGAGGATGAAATTATTTTTTATATGATTTTAAAAATTTATTCTCTTTCTTATTTTTTACATCGATCATTGATTATACACGTAAAAGAATAAATTTCTTTGCATTTTGATTCTAAAATTGAAACTCAAAATGTAAAAAACGAAGCAAACTTCGTTAACCACTAAACTTATTTGTTAAGCCTCAATTAGTTGAAACTGATAGATAAAAAAGAAATTATATCGTTCTATTTTGCATACTTTGGTTGGATTGTAAATTTTGGTTCAAGCACAATTACAATTTGCTTCCTTTCAAGGAATATTAGCAACATAGATTGCTGCTTCATGCTTGTATTCTCTTTTTAATTTTCATAATTTCTTGTTGCAAATCACTTATTTATTTTTTAACGGTTTAAGTATAGAGATATATTTAATGTGAGATTTAAAAAATAGCAAATATGATGATAAAAAGTCAACAAATCTTTTAAATTCATGCTTTAAATTCAATCAAATTACTAATTCAAACTCTCATCACATAAATGGATAGGGATGACAAATGACAATTTGCTTCACTTATAGGTGTTTTAATTTCCTATCATTTTTCTCATTGATTAGTCTTTTTTTTAATAAAAAAAGTGATAATAAAAAATTTCATGATAACCAAGAAAAGAATTTTAGATAATTCTTTACCAAGTCCAAATTGGTAAAAAATTAAAAATTAAAAAATTGACACCAACCTTTTGCACTAAAAAATTTCTCTTCCATTCCATACCTAATAAACCAAGCAACAAGACATATCAAACGACACATCGTCTGCTACCTGAAGTTTAGCATTGGGTTGATTTGGTATCAAGAAAGAAGGGATCCATGCATGACTGTTTCAGCGGGGTGACTTTGCTGTTTTGGTGAGAAAAAAATAAAATAAAATTATTTTAAGTAATTTTCACATGGGCATGATCACCACCACATACAAGAACGTAGATATTATTTCAAAATATTAAGAAAATATATTATGAAGTTTTTTAATCATATTTTCTTAATATTTGGCTTTTTTATTATTATTTTATGATGATTATCTTAGTCAAAATCTAATTAGTATTCACAAATATCGATAAATAAATTCTATTTGTTTCATGTAAAATATTTTCCTTGTTTTTAGCACATTAGAAAAATTTGATGAATGAAAAATATTTTACTATAAAAGAGAAATGCAAGTTTGAAACAAACGAATACAACTTATAATTGAATTAAAATATCTTTTATAATTAAAGTATAGATTCTACCACTAATCAATTATTTTATTTCCCTTCAATTGGATTATATATTCATTACTAAAATATATAATATATAAGTACAATTTGTTTCATTTTTGTTTACTAGTATAAACCTTGAAAAATCATTGTTTGGATTTTTATTTTCTCCGGTTGATAATGACCCGGTCAACTTTTTTTTTTTTTTTTCCCCGTCAATGGATTATATATCCATAAATGAGCTAATTACAGGCCCTATAATTAATAAATAAAAACAAAAGATTTCAACGAAAGACATGTCACTCACTCAATCTAATTCTTCCAACATTTTTTTCCTAAAAAAACATAATTATATATTCGACAAAATTCACCAAATTTAATTCTCTAAAATAATATAAGAGAGAATTTCATTGATGAATTTCTTAAAAAACATAAGCAGACCTTCTTATTTTTTTTTTCGAAATAAAAATAAAAATAAATCCTTTTAAAATTTTTATATATTTATATTTATAAATATATATATATATATATATATATCATTAATCCCTTTTTAAAAAATTCTTTTATTTTTTATTTTTATTTTTTTCCACCATTTTTTCTTCTAGTTAAAATTCACCTAACTCCATAATTTCCCATTTCCACCCACTTATAACTTCACTTTCACTTGTCTCTTTTTCTCTCCATAATTTAATTTCCTAATTTAACAAAACCAATCCAAACCAAAATTATTTTATTAATTTATCAAATTTAATCCTCTCCTCTCCTCTCCTGTAATCTGATCCCTGAAAATCCTCAGTTTGTTTAGGTTTTTTGGGGATGGACACAGAGGATGATATGATGGACGCGAACGACGTCGAATCAGTTGATGATGATTTCTATAGTGGTGAAATGGAAGATGATTATTATAGTGACGGTGATTATTATGATAATGATGATGCCAATGATGATGATGATGGTCCTGATTATGATTTCATGGCTGAAGCTGTTGATGATCCCGATGACTTGTCGTTTCGCTCTCAGGTGATCTTTGAATTTTGATTTTAGTGATAAAGTTTACAGCTTTGGTCGAATTGTGGTGATCTGGGAACTGGGGTTAAGATAATTTGGTGGGGATTAAGGAGTATTAGTGATTTGTTGTTTGTTTTAGAGATTTTAAGTGTAAAGTTTATTGCTTTAGTGGAATTGAGGTGACGTGTTGGTTTGGTGAAGAGGATGTGGTGGGAGTTTTGGGGTGATTATGGGACTAGTTGTTGATTTTGGGAATTTTAAGTGTGTGGGATTTTGTGAGAGTTGATGAATTTTTGATTTTACGGGGTGGAGGTTTAATTAAGGAGGATAATGCGTAAGTCAATTGAGCTAAATTTTTTTATTACTTGAGGATAATTTTTATGAATGATTTGGTTTTTTGACTGAGGGTTGGGAGGGGAGAAAATTGAACTTAAGTGAAGCTAGTATGTGTGGTGCTAGAAATATATGTGAAGCTAGTTTGTCCATTTCAGTATGGTTGTTATTGGCAAGGGTTTATAGAGCCTTCTCCAAAGTCTTTGTTGTTTGTGATATCCTAGAGGATTCAGTTGGTTCTATTCTAGGTTTCGACACTGCTATGCATGGCTTCATTAGGATCCAAACTTGTGTATGTTAACAGCAGTTCTATACTTACAGGTCTTGGCACTCTTAAAGACTTGATCTTTGCAAATTAATTCTGCTACTGTTGCTTGGATTTCCTTGATTTACCCTTTTTTTATTGGCAGCTGAACTGTAAAACACTTTAATATCGAATCTAAATGTGTTGAACCTGAAAAAAATTTAATCCTTGAAGCTGGAAAGTTAAAATTGTTAGGTGTTTCAAATAGAGTATTGATTTTGCTTTATTTCTTTATCTATTTGCGTCTAATGTTTTGCAGTTGTTTTCTGTTTCAGCAAAGTTATACAGTCTTGAAGGAAGAAGATATACATCAACGTCAAGAAGATGATATAACAAGAGTGTCTACTGTTCTTTCCATATCAAGAGTTGCAGCAAGCATCTTACTTCGACATTATAATTGGTAAATTAGCTTAGTGTTTCTCTTTTGCCTGTTCTTATGGTTAGTTTGTCCTGTGTAGACAATTGCTTCACAGTACATATGAACTGTTGTTTACAAGTAAACGGTGAATTATGTGTGGAAAATATGATGCAGTACAGCTTGGGCGGCTGTCTGGATCTGACTTTGGAGGCTGTTTAGGACTTTATTGATGTGGATTTCTGCTGGAATTGTATAAACTATTAGAGTCACACTAATAGGGTCTCTAGGAGTTGCGCCAAGAGGATAGAAAAACCTAAGCTTCATACGTAGAGTTCTTGAGTGATGCCAAAGGGAGATTGAGTCACACTATTAAAAGTAAATTGCTGGAATTTTATTCGTTAACTTCTATTCATAATATTGAAAGACTTCATACTTATTTATAGAGTTGTGCGAGTCCAAATCCAATAAGGACTTAGATTTCTAAATAAGAAAATACCAAGTCTGTGTAGAATTTTTTTTTTAAAAAAAAACCCTAAAAAGCTAATTACTCTGTAGAGCCAATAAAATACTAAATAGAAAATAAAACCTAGACTTAGAAAAATTTCCAGATTTTCCAGAAATTACAGAAATACCCTTGTCTACAAAAAGATACAAGTTTTGTTTCCTTTGTTGTCCGCCTCAAAATAATTATGGCAACTTCTGCATACTGCATTCTGATATGAAAATGCTGCACACTAGAACTGTTTCTTTTATCTTGGTGTCCTTATTGAATTCAGTATTGCAGGAGTGTTAGCAAAGTGCACGATGCATGGTTTGCTGATGAAGATGCTGTCCGGAAATCTGTTGGCTTGCTAGATAAGCAAGTAGTTCAGTTTTCTAATGCTCAAGAAGTAAGTGCTCTAGCTACATGAGTATCTGTGTGCATTGAATTGATTTCTACAGCTTTGTTGCTGCCACTATGTGTGTCTCTACCACTTACGCTGGTTGCTTTTATGGCCAGCTCACTTGTGGAATCTGTTTTGACTCCTTTCCTTATGAGAAGATTATTTCTGCTGCCTGTGGCCATCCTTTCTGTAATACGTGCTGGTCAGGTAAATTTCTTTCTTTCTTTTTTTTATTTTTTTTTTTTGGGGGGGGGTGGGGGTTGTGTGTGGGGGCTAAAGCTTCATGTCGAGATCTAAATTTCAGTTTTGGATCGATTTCATTAGTGATCTTCAAAGCTTTTCGTGTGCACACCTTTTTTATGCTTTGTTCCAACAGTACATGCTTTGAATTTTAAGTGGATTTGACACTGAGTTGCATAGAAGCAGAGGAAGAAAGGGAAGGGTAGGTTAGGGTAAGTAAAGGTGGCAAATAGTTATCCTCTCCTTAATTAAACTTGTTGAGGAATTTAATGTAGTTTCCCCCTATTTTGTGATAGGGTGTATAGGGAAGTTTAATTTAAAAAGCCTAAAGGGTGGAGAGGGTTGATTGATTATAATTAGAAAAAGAAGTCGTAAAATTATAAACTCAATTTCTTCCCTTGTTAACCCTCAAGTTTTGTGTTATTGGAATTTTTACTGTCTAGAGGCAGGGGTTATAGAAAACCCACCAATCTCCTCCAGTTTCCTTTCCTTTTAGAAAAATAATTCCAACACAAAATTGAAGGGTTCATTTTCCATGTTACTCTCTTTCCCATTGAAGAACAATGCAAATATTTTGGTCTTCTTTTGTTAGGTTTTGTTGTCAATTATCATGCACTTTGTACAGTGTAATCTGTGTGCCATTCTTGCATTTTTGTTTCCTCTTCAATATTTTATTACTTCGTAAGAAAAGAACTTGCTTTGATTGCAGCAAGTTCTGTATATATCTTGTTTGTTACTCTGTCTGCTGCTACATGTGTGCAATGGATAAGCTTGAATATTTGATTGCTGTTTGAATAGGTTTAGCTTTTTCCATGCCTTTCAATTACTCATTATTGATTTTTTGATATCTTTTGCTCACTGCGGCAGGTTACATTAGCACAACCATTAATGATGGTCCTGGATGTTTGATGCTAAGATGCCCTGTTCCATCTTGTCGAGCTGCTGTTGGTCAAGACATGGTCAATTTGTTAGCACCTGATGAAGATGCTAAGAAGTACTCTCGGTACCTCCTTAGGTCCTATGTTGAAGACAACAGAAAGGTGTGCCCACTGCCCAGGATATGGAACCTTGAAATCCTGTTTTTGTGTTTGTTATCGTTCTCTGTTTGCTATTGTCGCTTATAGTGAGTTGAGTCATCCCTTCTTCCACCAATTATCTGCACTCAAATTTGGTGACAATCACAAAATGTTATTGTACAATTCATTTTGCCATTTTAATGCTAAAAGCACCATATACTCCACGTGCCCCCTTCATGAGTTTCCTATTATTCTGGCCACCTTCTTTATGGTGTTGTGTGGTATTTGGTTAGAGAGGTATGCTAGAGTTTTCTAGGATGAGTTTGCATTTGCACAGTTGTTGTGAGACAGGATAGTGTTTCTTGCTTCATTATGGTGTCGTGCTTTAGGTTCTTTAGAGGTTTTTCTGCAGCTGACATTCTGCGAGATTGGGATGATCATAGTTTTGTTGTCTGTTTCTTGGTTTGGAGGATGGCTTATTCTCCAAACTATTTCTTCTTATTTTCTTGTTTTCATTGATAAATCTTCTGTGATCTAAAAAAGAATTGTTTGACCGCCTATCCTTTTTCTCTCTCTTGTTAACTTTCAGACCAAGTGGTGTCCTGCTCCAGGATGTGAGTATGCTGTTGATTTTGCTGCTGATGGTGGAAGTTTTGACGTTTCCTGCCTTTGCTGTCATAGCTTTTGCTGGAATGTAAGCATACGCTTCATGTTGAGAGTGCCATTGTACTAAATTCTGTTGAAATTAGTTGCTGTGTAGTGACTGGTAATTGCAGTGTGCAGAAGAAGCTCATCGTCCAGTGGACTGTGGAACTGTGGCAAAGTGGATTTTGAAGAACAGCGCTGAGTCTGAAAACATGAACTGGTAGAAAATTTAGTTATGCCTCAATATGTAGTGATTATGTTTATAATAGATACTTGTTTGCTCCCTTTATTTATAATGGCGATAAATGTCATCACGCACACGTGTGCAGACCTGTAGCCAGATGAGTATAACTAATTGCTGCATCAGTAACCTGTGCTGCTTTATGCTGATTTTATATTTGATTACACTCAGGATACTTGCTAATTCCAAACCTTGTCCTAAATGCAAGCGACCGATTGAAAAAAACCAAGGGTGCATGCACATGACATGCACCCCACCTTGCAAATTTGAATTTTGTTGGTAAGTTCAGAACTTTGTTGCAGAAACCATTTGAAAATTGATTATCCTCTTGATGAAGTTTTGTTTAACTTCAATGGGTAAATGCAGGCTGTGCCTAGGTGCATGGTCAGATCATGGTGAGAGGACTGGTGGTTTCTATGCTTGTAACAGATACGAGGCAGCCAAGCAAGAAGGAGCAGTAAGTGTGCTAATATTGTTAGTTATATTTGATCTACCTCATGTATCGTGGTAATTCTTTGAAATAGTGGTAAGATGGCTAATTCTCTTATGTATTTTATGAAATTCAAATTATGCTTGTAGTATGATGAGTCAGAGAGGAGACGAGAAATGGCAAAAAATTCTTTGGAGAGATACACCCATTATTATGAACGATGGGCAAGCAATCAGTCGGTATGCTAAAGTTTTTCTGACATTTGCTGTTTATGTCAAGTTACAGATTATTTCTTATGTAGTTATTTTCCCAGGTTAAAGTTTCTATGATAGTTTTCCAGTGTTGTAATTGTGAATTTGCTTTCTTTATGGCTGATTTGTTTCCCTCCTTGCTGGTGGTGCTTTTGGATGTTTGTTTGGGTCAAATGTAGTGTGCTTTGAATGCCACAGTGGATGAGGGTTAGAGGGCCATTTTATAGCTTTGATTTGTGCTGTTCTTTTTCGCTACTGTGTGTAATGGAAATGAATTTAGATCAATACAAAAATAAAATAAGAGTCGGTTCCAAAAAAGAAGAGAAATAATGAGAAATTGGCAAGGATGGAACCCAATGAGCTAGTGCTACTGTTGTTGCTCTGTTACCTTACTGGAATAAGTGGGATACTTTAGTACTCTACTCTTATCTTTATTAAAAATCATTCTTGCCTTCTCCACTCTAAAGATCAAATATTGATGAAGGCCAAGACTGGATTCTATTTTTCGTTGAAATTCAGATTCTCAGTTTCTGATTGTAATTTGTACCTCTTGCTAGGATCTCTCTGGAGAACTTGTAGATTCCTCAGATTACTGTTTTAACATAATTTTTTTAACAAGCCCTAATGTTTTTTTTCCTGTTAAACTTTTGCTATTGTTTCCATGTCAACCCTTTTTTGTTCCTTTTCTTTTTAATTAATTTGTATACCTTGGACTTGGAGCATATCTTAATGGAATCTGAAATTTGTGTTCTATGTGGCAGTCAAGGCAAAAAGCTCTTGCAGATTTGCATCAAATGCAGACGGTACATGTACGCATCTTGTTCATATTGTTTCTTCTACATGTGCACATTTTGTGCTGTCTATTGAATGTCCTGTATCTTTTAGCTGCTTACTGAAATGACGTAAGAGTTAACTTCATGATTTCTTGGTTTTTCAAGCTTGAGAAGCTTAGCGACATACATTGTACACCTGAGTCTCAGCTGAAGTTCATGACAGAAGCTTGGCTTCAGGTGTGTTGTCATATGATTTTTTGGGTCGGGTGGGGGTGGAATAGAGCCATGTATTATATTTTGTCTTCTTGTACTTGTTTGCAGATAGTTGAATGCAGGCGAGTTCTGAAATGGACCTATGCATATGGGTTTTATCTACCTGAGCATGAGCATGCTAAGAGACAATTTTTTGAGTACTTGCAAGGTATGCATATGTTTAATTATTTACCAAGTGACTGTATGAGATTGGTTGCGTCTTGTGGCCCAAACAGCATGCTTTCCTTCCAATAAGAGATTTGGGGTGCGTGTTTGCTGGTCCAACTTGAGTTTGTGATTACACAAACCAAATGACGGGAAAAAAAAAGATGGGAGAGAGAACTACACTGGGTGTATTTATTAGTTCTTGATGGGCACCATTGCTAATAGATAAGCCCTTCATGTTGTGCAGGTGAGGCTGAGTCTGGTTTGGAAAGGCTTCATCAATGTGCAGAGAAGGAACTACAACAGTTTCTTGCTGCTGAAGGCCCATCAAAAGAATTTGATGAGTTCCGGACAAAGTTAGCTGGGCTGACCAGGTATTGTAGCAAATTATTTGTTGACTTGTAATTTATATCTGTGGTGCAAGGTATATAGGTTTAGTCCCTTTAGAGGTGAATCTCTCTCTTTTTTTGTTCTCTCATGGAACATTCTATACTTAACGTGAGAAGATAAACATTGCTGCATATGCATTGGTTATGCTCAGGCTGTCCTGGCCACAAAAAACATCAACTACATGGCTAGAAGGTTTACGGAAGGGGATAGTTAGCAGTTGTTTAGACTTTACTTTCCACATGTGCATATGTAATTGATATATGGACTTTTTGTCCAAAAATTTGTATAAATCTAACTACATTTATGGACAGTGTAATATAAATTTAATCTGTGAAATTCTTTCCAGTGCTGCATGTTGCCATTGGCAACTTAATGTACCTTTTTTTAGTTCATGGATTTGTGGATGCTTAATTAGGAAAGTAGTTCTTGTATGCATCTGAAATAGCTTGAGAGGGTAAGATGATTGCAAACTTGGTGAGCATCCATGTATCATGAGTTCTGTCACCTAATTAGGCACCAGCACTAATGCTTTCTTTTGCCTCTTGGGCAATAGTTTGTCACATGTCATAATGCACAGTAAGGTTTATCTCCTCTTTTTAAATTTGTTGAATTAGGTATTTGTTTAAGCATTCAGGTATTGCTGCAATTATAATACTAGCATTAATTTGTTTAAACATCCATGCATCATGAGTTCCGTAACGTAACGCTAATGCTTTCTTTTGCCTCTTGGGCAATAGTTTTGTTAAATGTCATTATGCACAGTAAAGATTTATCTCCTCTTTTTAAATTGGCTGAATTAGGTATTTGTTTAAGCAATCAGGCATCGCTGCAATTATAACACTAGCATTAACGCTTCTCTTTATATACCTACTTGCAACAGTGTGACAAAAAATTATTTTGAGAACCTGGTTAGAGCATTAGAGAAAGGTCTAGCAGACGTGGACTCTCATGGTGCTTGTAGCAAGACAACAAGCTCAAAAAGTGTCAGCAAAGGGAAAGGTGGAAAGGGAAAGGGTAGTAAAACTGGTGGTTCCAGCAAAAATGGAGATGATTAATATTCCATTTCCAGTTCCAGTTCCAGTTCCAGTTCCAAGCTGTTTCCACATGCCAGGTATATGCTGCTACGGCCATTTACACTTCTAAACCCATGTGTCTGGAAATTAGAACCTTCTTGGAATAAGTACTCTCGAATCAAGTTAAAAGAATGGGAATTGCAGCAGATCCTTTCTATTGATGGTTTGATGCCTCATCCTTTCCGAAGGCTGCTCAATGGGTGAATGGTAAGTAGATGTCAAAGGATTGGAAGAATAATATTAAGGAAAAAAAAAAGGCTTGACTTGAAATCTTTGTTTGGTTTTGAGGCAAGCGTAATGTTTGGTGTACTGTATATAGTTGTTTTCTATCCGTGTCTATTAACATATCGATCTGCAACTTGCTTTTGTTGCTGGTAATCATATAGATAGGAAATGTTCTCCATCTTTGAATGCAAATTTACTCATTTGTGAAAAAGATAAACTGAAAGCTTCAATGAACTTTGCTTTGAACTTCGTTCTTCTCTTCCTTTTTTCCGAGAGTTCATTCTATCTGTTCTTTGATAAATCCAGTGAATATTGATATGGTATTTTGTGTCGGTTCAGCTTTTAAATTGGTGGTGTTGAACAATTTGGGTTCTTGCTAGTGTCCATTTCTATTTCAGTTATTAGCAACCTTCTGATTCTGTGCACCGTTTAACCTAATTCAGCAATCAAAAGAATCCAAGAAACAAAGTTCAGCTATAAATTCATTGTTTTTCAACGATCATGTTTATCCGGTGACCATGAATTTTGATGTCATGGCTGCTTTTAGACAAAAACAGGCAGTTCAGCTGTTTTTGAGGCATTAGATGCCTATTTGGTTTGCTTTTGTGGATCTTAATTGGTTACCAATTCTGTGGGTCACTTTTAAGATCTGGAATTTTTACATGGTGATCCATTTAAACGATTAAGGAAACCACAAATCTGTCTGAAGCAATTAAGCCAGCCAAATATTTTCCAGACCTGCATCTGATACGACATTTTTGTTGGTTTAATTCAGCTATTTTTCTATTAGGTGCAATTTGTGTCTTGAGGTTCAGGATTTGATCATTTGGAATCCATTTCCGCAAGCGATTTTTGTAAAAACTTTAAAGAGGTGGAAAGCCCTTATTTTTGTAGATAAATAGACGAGAGAAAGGACAATCTTGATTAACATCAAACAAATGCTCCTTGCCCTATAACAGGTCTTTTTTATATACTTAGTTACTCGTATGAATAAGAAAAAATAAAATAAAAGAAAGAAATCTACTGTCCTCGAGAAAAAAAAGGGAAAAAATAGCTATCATACAAACAATTGTAGTGCATGATTCTTATTTCTTCTTTACTCAAATTTTTATTGTTTCCCGAGGGAAACAGCCAACTTTTTTGGCTCATTTTTAGGGTACCTCTTGAGAATTTATTTCAATCGCTTGGATTCATTTTTTAGTATTCTCGTGCTAAGTGCTTCCAGCATTGCTCTTGAATATTGACGAGAACCCATTTTCCAATCCATGCCACTTTTCATCATTGCCCTAAATTCGTTGTAGCTGATTCGACCATCCTGAAAAAATGAAAAATGGACAAGACCATGGTTAATGAAAAGAAAAGACCGTAATATAGGCTAGCTAGATCATATATATATATAGGATAGAATTACGAATTACCTTATCAAGATCAACATCAAATATGATGTCTTTGATCACTTGTTCATCGTTTGGACCTAGATCGTCATTTGACATGGCTTCTCTCAATTCATCAAACTCGATAAATCCATTTTGGTCCTTGTCGAAGAAACGAAATGCTCGAGTGAGATACTCATCACTGCCAATTCTTTTCAGATGAACAGACACTGCCATGAACTCTTTGCAGCTTAGCGAGCCATTTCCATCAGCATCCGCCTTTAAAAGACGCAGGAGAGGAAATGTCTTACTCTTTAGAAGGCATCAATTGATAGAGAATTAAGAACATAAGCAGAAGCAAAGCAATAACTCACAGCATCAATTAATAACTTCACATCAGGATCAGGAATGGAGTATCCAAACTTGTTTAGGCCATCTTTCAGTTCTTCAAATGATAAGTTCCCATTGTGGTCCGTGTCCATCATATCAAACAGTTGTTTGATTACATCTACTTGCTCGTCTGGCAAGCTGTCTGCTACCACCTGAAAGAAGGATCGATAAAAAGATCAATGGAGAGCTTGATTAGAAGAGACGATCACTCCCTTGACATGTATAAGGAATGAGGCAGGAACTTACTATGAGAGCTCTCTTTTTGAACTTATTCATCAAGGAAAACTGTTTAATCCTTGTTCTCACATTTTCTCCAAGCGATATATTAGGGGCATCACTTGCATTTTGTATCCATGAATTTTCTTCATATGACATGAAAGAAGAGGACAAATTAGTTTTTTTTTCAAGCAATTTACTTCCAATTTTTGATGAAGTAAAGGCTACTAACCAAGAACTTCTTCAACTGTTAATCGTTCGTAAGGATTTTGATCAAGCATATCCTTCACTAGTTTTTTTGCTTCTTCAGAAACTTTAGGCCAAGGATCCCTTGTGAAATCTATTTCACCGCGGACAATTGCATGTGCAATCCCTTCCTCAGTTTCTGCACAAGTCATGATGTGGACGGTAAAAATTCATTCTAATGGAAGGAAAGTTAAGGGACACAGTTTCGGTCAGTTCGACAGAAATATGGGGAATGCATCAGCTGGATGATGAAGCTTACCTGCCCAAAATGGAGGGACTCCACAAAGCAAGATATAAAGGATAACGCCTGCACTCCACACATCAACTTCTGGTCCATAGTTTCTTCTCAAAACCTCTGGAGCCATGTAATATGCACTTCCAACAATTTCATTGAAACGCTGACCTGGGGTGGACAGATTTTGAAATTCAAAAGTTGGAACAGGTACCATACAGTGATGTAATGGTGGCAAGAGCAGACAATGTAGAAGATATATACACCTGGTTCAAAGAATATGGAGAGGCCAAAATCAATTGCTTTTAATTGGGAGTATTCACTTGCATCTGCAAATAAGAAATTTTCCGGTTTTAGGTCCCGGTGTATCACTCCATGATCATGGCATACCTGCAAGGAGTATCAAGACATAGAACATGGAAATGATTTTCTTCTTTGGGCAAAATTCCAATTTTTGCAAGAACATAGATAGCTGTTTATTGCAAACTAGCTTGAAGTTGAAATGTGTTCGATTTCAAACACAAATTCATATCTTGATTGAAGCGCATCGGAATCATCATGATAATTTTTGAATAAGCTGCAACATCTAAAATTATAGATGGAATGTATGAAAAATTAAGGCCTTCAACTATTCAAGACAAGAAAGAAACATTAATCTTGGATCATGTTTTCCTTTCACCATTCTTTTCTATTAAGTTCGACAGATCCACCTTAATCTCGAATCATGTTCCTCATTTCCATCCATTCATAATTTAGGTTTTGCTTTGTCAAATTTTTAAAAGGAAAAGAAAAAAAATCATCACCCTAAGTTCCTTGGCTTCCCCAGATTTAACAAGAATTCCAAATCCATAGCTTAACAATACCTTGACAATCTCCAAAATGGTCTTGATAACCATTGCCGCGGCACGCTCGGTGTAATGCCCTTTAGAAACAATCCTATCAAAAAGCTCACCTCCCTCACAAAGTTCCATAACAAGATGAACAGCTTCTGTATCCTCATATGCCTCCTTGAAGCTCACAATATTAGGATGTTTAGGCAAATGCCTCATGATCTCCACCTCTCTTCTCACATCCTCCACATCAATTTCTGACTTCAGTTTGGATTTAGATATGGTCTTGCATGCATATTTTTCACCTGTTTTGATATCAAAACATTGGTATGTGATCCCAAATTCACCTCTTCCTAATTCCTTTCCAAACGTGTATTTTTCATGAATGTTATGGCCTGTAGGCTCCTTGACCACTGATGTGATCCTAAGAGCTCTTGGCGTTTGTACCACGCAGTCGTTCTGATCCGGTGAGGTTAGAGGTTTATGGACATTGCGTGCTGATCTCTTGGAAACAATATGACCTAGTTTTGCGGATGTGGAAATGCAGCTTCCCATGGGATCAGCTGATTAGGGTTTTTCTCTCCTTTCTCCTGTTTTTGCTATGCAAACAACATCCTGCTGGCTATTAGAGGGAGAGAGAAAGAGTTTTGGATAGAGAAAATGAAAACCCTAACAAAGGATCAGGATTGGGGGAGGAAAGAGCTAAATACCGCAAGATTGATATATGAAAATTAGTTGTTTTGGTTCATCATTACTTGTCTTATTCCTCCATTTTCTTAGGGTCGGTTTAATGCTTTCTTTTGCTGTTTTCTTTAATTAACTATTTATGGCTAATGTTTAATGTCTAATCTCCTTCACAGTTCACCTTAATTTAAGATCTAGCTAGTTGAATTTGCTCCTTCAGCAGGAAATTCCTAAATTCAAGGCCACCTCCATTTCTTTGTACATTTTTCTACGCTTTTAAAAGGAAAAATACTACCAAGAAATAGAATATTGACATCAACATACATACATATGTCTAACACAAGGTGGAAGTAAGTACTGAAAATAGCACAGAATCAAGCACTCTTGCCAATTACTTTCACAAGCTAGCCAAAAAGAAACACAAAGACGTGCTAGGTTTCATCAAACAAGCTCCTGAAATCAACTTATGCGTACAAAATAGTTATACATAAAGAGATTCAGATCTTGCTTCCATTCCAGTCTTTGCGATCTCTTCAAAGCAGCCACTGCTAGCTCTCCGGCTACTACATAGTAGAATCAATCATTCACTGACGCCTTTCTTTTTGTGAGCGGAGGAGGAATGAAACAGTCTTGATCAGGCAACCAAGATGTTGCGGCATTGTTACTCCATGGAGACTCCAAAACTACCAAGAAAAGATACAAACACAGAAAGAGAAAGATTGCAAAAGAGAGGTACACCTCTTCTGTAAAATTTGACAATATCACCATTTTCTCTAGAGTGATTTGAAAAGGAGAGCAGAGGGAGGTGTTTGTTTTTAAAGGAGAAGTGGGAAAGGAAGTTCAATGTACATAGTTCTTGGTAAAGAACATTAATTGTAAGAGAAAAGACAGGCAAGAAGAAAGGGGTGGTGGAATATCTGGCTAGTGGGGTTTCAGATTCACTCAATGTTGAAATAGGGAAATTCATTGAATGTCCTTGCAAGTGGGTCATGTGGGATTCTATTTATTCTCTAACATAACCATTTCCATCCCATGTTCATGCATTAACCCATGTTCATGCATTAATCCATGTTCTAGCAAATCTTGCTAGATATTCAATAATGTATACCTGACTTGATGTCTTTTTGTGTCATCTTGGACTTGACAATCACAAAAGCCTAATGGATACAAAGAATGTTGACTTATTAGTTAAAAGAAAAAAGAAATCTTAATTTTTTTTTATATTTAGGGTTTTTTTTTTTCTTGATCTGCAAATAATTTTTTTCGTCTTATTGATAATGTGACATGAGAGAAACGTAAAACTAAAAAAAACAATCATATATTCCTTAAAAATTTAAAACATTGAGAATACATTTAAGTGTATCTAACGTGGTCCTAAAATTGATCAATGAGATACAAAAATTTCATTACATGATACTAATTAGAAAAAAAAAAGATTAAAATTTTTTGTGTTATTGACTAACAAGTCAACTTACTTTGTAATCAATTGACCATCACAAAATCAACCAAATGTAAGGCTAGCTTTAGCAACAAAAATCAAAAGATTAGAAGTAAGCATGGGGCCATGGTGGTATAGTGAGGTAGGTCCAAAAATGTTTTGTTAGGCATTGTTCTTTGGTCTGCACTTGCATTTGTTTGATTTAGTGGGTGATTTTATTAATAGTTTAATTAATCTTTGTTGCATTAAACCAAAATACCCATCGAATCATAAGAGTATTATTATATTTTAAGATTTGATTGAACTCCTAATTTTATTGTTAATTAAATCATCAAACAAGAGATCTTTAAATCATAAATCAGTACTTATTTGTCGATTTCCTTGTTTTTAATGTCCTAAATTCCATACATATATATAAAGTTTGAGAAATATATTTTTTATGAATTCTTTAGTCTTGAGGTAACTTATGAAAAAATAAAATAAAGAAATACTTTAATCACCTTGTAGTTTGAGTACAACAATACTTTATATCTTCGTTTATTATAAACTATACTTTACACGCTGTATATTAAAATGTTAATTCAAAAAACATTATGTATTTTGATTTTGCTAACAAAAGCTAATTTTCGCGCTCAATCTACAAATTGTTTAAAGTAATTTATTCTAAAAATAATCTCCTTGTATCATTAACTTATAAAGTTCGAGAATTTATAACCCTGATTAAAAAAAAAAAAAAAAATCCTTGTATTATTAACATGTAAATGGTGATGAAGGTGTAGGGCTACACAAATGACCTAAAGATAAGTTACTATAGGCTACATTGCATACACATTCAAAAAACTCCCTCATATTATAATGTTAAAAATACAGGGAAACCATACCATCCCATACATATGAAAATTAATATTTTTTTTCTTTTGAAGGCCATAGATATTTTCTTCTTTTTATTTTTTTATTTGAGAATAAAAAATATTTTTGAATCAGTTTAAGAAATTATTATTATTATTAGAAATTAAGCTTTTGGTAATTAATTTACAGTTGTGTTTTTAAGAAACAATATTTTTTCTTGAAAAAAAATAGTGATTCCTAAATTATTTTTACACACACACATATATTTATATATATTAAGCTTCACGTATTTTGCTTTCATAGTAAAATACTCTTCGTCTAAAGAGATTAACTGCCTTTCTATTTTTGGTTGTCTTAAAATGACTATCGAATCAAAACATCAAGCTGTATATTTTTTTCCATGATACCCCTAATAAACACTCATGCCTATAATTTAAATGAGATATTTTAGGAAAATATAAATTAAGAATGTTAATATGACCTAATTAAAGAGATTGCCGGGCTTTCTATTTTAGGTTGTCTTAAAATGATTATCTAGTCAAAACATCAAGTCGTATATTTTTTTTCATGATACCCCTAATAAACATCCATACCTTTATATAATTTAAATGAGATATTTTTGGAAAATATAAATTAAGAATGTTAATATGACATATGAATTAATGAATTTCTCCATATATGTGAAAAATCAAATATGTCAATTTCTTTTAAAAAAAATGAAAAATACCTTAACCAAATACTAGTTCTAATGTAAAACAAATATGTTTTGAAAACACAACAATACCAATCACACACTAATGACATGTTTGGTTGGATGTAATGAATTATATAATAGATTGGCTCATTAATTACATTCCTATATTCGGTTGCGTTATTTTCAAAATTGTAATGGTAATAGACCAGACCATCACAATCATAATGACTCATTACACACACACACACACACACACACACACAAAAGTCTTTCATCATAAGGACTGAATTGTAAATTTTATAAAGTACAAGGACCAAAAATTCAAATAATGACCAATTTGTAAACAAAATATAGGGACTAAAATATTTTTTTAAAAAATCACATGGACTAGCATAAAAAATTGTGATTGTTTCCATTACATTCCTAAAATTCGTACAAGGGAACTTGTAATAAACCATTCTATTGATCCACTCCGTTCCATTACATATTTTTTTAAATTACACATTTGATTATAGGTTAAATTCATCAACTAAATTATTATTTTTAACATTTTTTATATAATTATCAATAAAATTTTCATCAATTACTAATAATTATTAGATAACTTGTGTATTGATAATTTTTTTAAAAATAAAATAGTGAAAATAATAATTTGATTGGTGAATTTAACAATGCTTTTGATTATATTACATCAAACTAAATATATAATAAGTTATTGGCACAAAAACAAAGGCATAACGAAGGACAATTTGAAAATTCTGTTCATAGTTGATACAAATTTTCCAGATAAGTGTTACTCAAATCTTTTTGAAAAAAGTGATCAGAAATATCTAAATTTCTGATTTAGCTAGGTACCTAATTATTTAGATGGCCACTACCTCCCTAGTAACGCAAGAGTTAAGCCTTTTAGCTTTAACAAAAAGGATACCCGCCAAATCTTAATTATTTTGGTAACAGCTAAGTAATTACTTAATATTCCCTCCTTACCATTGATTACTTCCATTAATATATAAAAAGAAAAACAAATCAAAAACATTCTCTGACACTGCAAATTCCCAGGCAAAGCAAAGGTTTCTCAATTCTGTCTTTTGGGCTTCCAAAATTATTTTTACAACTTTATCTATCAGTTCCAGACCACACTGCATCATGATCAGCCAAAAGGTATAACCTTTTTTTTTTTTTTCTCTCTTGTTTGGTAAAAGATGTGTTACGTACCATAGATATGTGTTTGATCATTTTTTTTTTAATTTTATAAAAATTAATTTCCTGTTTTCTTTTTATTCGAAACCCTTGTTTTGTTCAATTAAGATTATTAATTTTGTTATTGGGATTAAGGCTTTGAATTAAAAAATAAAGAAAGAAAGAAAGAAATAGAAGACAGCATTATTTTATTAAAAAAGATTGCTACTTGCAAATTGATTCATATCTTTCTTTTTTTTTTTCTTTGTTGCTTTTTAATTCTATGGAGGAAGGGAAGCTCGAGAATTTGACCTAATCTAGAGGTGATGAATGGTTTCACCTAAATTATGCACTTGGTGTGATTACATTGGACATTGACCTAGCCCTTCAAGCATGTGCACAAGTGTTTTGTCCTTACTTAGCAGTATACTCTCTTTTCTTAATTTATGAAGAAGGAAATCTTCTCTTTGAAATAATCTAAACCTATTGCAGTTTCTGCGTTGTTGTGTAGATCCTTGAACCCTTGATCACTTTATATATCAGACAAACTTGGGTGATTGATCATTCCTATGTTGGATGGTTAATGTCACTGTCAATATCACATAATCCTCTTCGCATTCTCTTTTTTAGTTAGATTACATCATCTTGGCCCTTCTTTTGTTTGTTTAATTTGGTCTTACATGTATACTTTTGTTTAATATGTTTGGAAATTTCCTTGTTGCCGTTCTTGAGGAGCTTTTAATTACTTCGGTTATTTAACTGTTTTTTAGTAATCCTTTGTTCTTTAAGTAATGTAACAATGAGCATTGTTGCAGACTAAGACATTTAGAGGCAATGCAAGAAGTAGCTCTTTTGATGGTAGTGTGAAGAGGGTGAAGTCTTTCTTTTCAAAGAAGAAGAAAACTAGCTTTGATCAGAGTGATCCTGAATTTCCTAGGCCAATATCAGGCGCTGGATCAACTGAAAGGAAATCCATCAGATCAGAGATTGGAAAGACGGGTCCTGTCTGTAAAACTAGAAAGAAGGCTGCTGAGGTTGTAGAGTTAGTGGAACAGGAGGAGATTGACCTTGATGAGCAGATTCGTAAAGAAAGATGCTCCACTGATTGTATGTGGCTGACTTCAGATAGTTCATCTCCTTCGTATTTTTTCGAAGAGTATAGATTATCTACTTCATTACATCCTACGGTTGATGAGTGGCTAATTTCATGGTTATCGACATTGGCAAACTCCTATGTCCATTTAGATGGAGCAAGTTCTATCTCCAACAAGTCTAGAATATTGCTAAATCCTGAGGAGGATGCAGCTTCGACTGTTGGGAGAACAGTGCCAGACTTGGAAATGATTTTGCAGGAGGATTTGAAGGAAGAAAGGCGATTTAGTTTGATATCGAAATCGTGTAGGAGAAAAATAGATTTCTCTGTGAGTAGTTCTGAGAGTTCCAGCTCAACTTTTGAGCACTGCTGTGGGAACTTCACAAGCAGTACTGACAACTCGGCTACGCCTCGTAGCACCACCTTTGGCTCGCCTTCTTGTTCTTCTCGGACGTCGGATTTGGACAGAATGAGTTTTTCAGTCTCTTTACTAAGTCTTGATGGCGATGATTCCAAGTGGGATTCGGATACGGAGTTGGAGTCGGAAATTTTAAAATCTACTTTTCCTAGTCCATCCTGCTGGAGAAGATGGAGTTCTGGGGTTTTACCATCTAGTTCTAATGTTTCCATTCGTGGAAAATTCAAGGACGGACATTTGCAACATGATATATCCCTGGAGAATAGTTCTTCAGAAGCTGAAGTTATGAAAGATTTCAATACAGATGGGCCTCTTTTCTGGCCTTTCGATAAGAAACTGGATTGGAATTCTGAGGAAGTTTGGAAATGTTTTGCCATGTCTCCTCGCAAGGACATGATGGAACTGTCAATTTATCCTCAGGGGATCTCTTCCGAATCTGTCGGAGTGAAAATCCATGACAGGAAAATGGAGTCGAAAGTGGGGTGTAGGAGAAGACTGGTCTTCAGCTCGGGTTCCGCAGCATCAAATATTGTGGAGAAGAAACAAAGAGAGGACAATAATAGCAGCACCAAGAAGATCAACTCCAAGCCAACAAGGCTGAAAAACTCTACCAAAGGTAAAGATAGAAAAGTTTCTGCCCCAAAGGTGGATTCTGAGAATAGGAATCTTTCCAAAGATGATTTTATTGCATCAAACAAGGAACATCCAATTGAGATACTATTGGGCCTCGGCGAGTTTGATGGGCATGAGGGAGTTGATTCAGAAGTCAATGAAGGTTTTTTCTCCCTGGATGACTCTCCTTGAGAATCCAAGCACGGTGTTATTGTGCAGAAACTCGGTACCACGAGCTCACTTGACTTGCAGATGTGTTTCAAGTTTTGTTGGTCATGCCATGTCAAAGAAATAGATCATACTAATTGGATCTGCTCTTGGTTGCCTGAGTTATGAGATAAAAAATAAAAAAAAATTGCATCAAAGTTTACGTGTATTTCTTGGACATCAAAGATACAAAATTCACACGAGTCATGTGGTTTGGGTTGGGGTGATATTTTCTGTATCTAACCTCCATCAGTCCTATTCTCAACCTTTCCCAAGAGAATTTAGTTCTTTGTAATTTCATCTACTAACCTGAAATGATAATTTCCATCCAAACAACTTCGACAACATTCTGTTAAATTAAAAAAAATATATATATATTTATAATTGGAGTCGTGTAATCATTGTCCTTAAGAATATTATTTTATATCGTTCTAAGACAAAACCAACCCTTCTGGAATTAAAACCAAGAACAAAAATAATAAAAATAATAAGAACCCAACAAAGAATTATGAAATAGAGAGGGGGAGAGGATTTTTTTTGTGTGTCATCAATATTGATAATAGAGATGGTATTTATAGGCTAATTTAGGCTGGTTTGATGAGATAAACGTGGAGATAATGGACCTATTTCATAGCATTAAAAATGTGAGTTATATTGAATAAGTGGAGTTAAGAAAAGGCTTGGATTAGGCTGGTTACTGCACAGGAGGCAAATGGACTGTTTTGCCTTAGAAAAAAAAACCTAACTCATTTATGCATAAGCCCAATCCATTTTACCTATCTTTTACAAGCCCATAATATACTTTTCGTAATAAAGTATTATGTCATATCTTTTTTTTAATCCTATGAAAATTTTTAATAATCTTTTAAAATATTCACAACACATTCAAGTTTTTATTGACAAAGGAATTATTTTAGTGTTTATATTCATCACGGTCAGAAGAATTGAATTCAAGCTTTCCAAGCCCCTTCTCGTCGTATACGAAGGAGTGCGTTCTTTGTACGGCCATCTCCTCTTCTCTTATTGGTCGAGTCTCTAACCCTTGTCCTCTCAGCGATCGAGGATAATTTTCACAAGTGATAGGGAGAGATTACCATCGGAATGTTGATTCAGGAAAATTAAAACCTACCTGTCCAAAAAAACGAGTGGCAGAAGATCTTCGCGAGTACTCTAGAATATCTGCCAATGGCAGAGTCTCTAGCTCCGTATCAAGCTGATATCATCACTCCCGTTTGTATTGTCACTATCATCAATACCATTTTTTATGCAAGCATTTATGCAAGTTAATTTAATTTGTACTCTGTAAGTTGCAAGCCATTAATGAAGAGAAGTACATGTGAATACCAACAAGAGGATGTGTATTTTGTTACAGTTGAAAAGAAACAAGATGCATATTGCGAGGTTGCCATTTTTTTGGGTCTAAAGAAGGTCATCAACTGAAGAAGAAGAAGAAGAGATGTATGAATCTTGTGGGACTCTATCTTGTGCTTTGCCACTTCTGTTATTGCATGTAGGTTGACGGTGCAATTGAGGAGATATAATTAAATAGTATAATTCAAATAGTTTTTTTTTTTTAATTCAAAAGTATAATTCATATATGTATCAAAAAATACGATAAATCTCAAAATATTATATTGAATAAATTTCTTGATATCTAGCCATTTAAATGAATTTGTTGAAGTTAGAAAAGATGAAAATCAACTAGGAAAAGCGTTTAATTAATTTTAAAAAATTTAAAAATTAATATAAATAATAACAAAATATTTTAGATACTAAATACTATTCCCTACGAACAAAAACATACATTCTTATTTATCTTTTTGCTAATAAATATTGTGATCAGATCTTTCTCTTTTAAGAGTTTGAAGTGTTGTTGATGGTGTGGATATGACTTCATTATTTCTAACAAATAAATAGTTTTTAGTTTCATTTTCACTTTTCACTTATATGTATATATCTTTGAATGAATTTATATTTTATATGATAAAAACTTTATATATATATAGTATATAAATGTACCTAAGTGAAAAATGTGTATTTTCATACACATATGGTTAGTTTCCTCCAATAACTCAAAACACTAAATCATTCCACAACTCAACCGTTAAGTATACTAAACCTAAAAAATAAAATTTTTTTTGAAAAACTACTCTTGTATAAAAATAAAATAAAAATAGAAACAGGGTGCTACCGCTATAATTAATATTCATGTTTATCAAGTTACATACAATAAGCATGATCAATGAGGTAGTTTTGATGGATGATTTACATGATTGTCCATTTTGTCACATGTTAGCAGGCATTTTCTGCAGTTCTCATGTGTCGATCAAATGTTTTTACTTTTATAAACTTATAACTAGTAAAAATCAAATTAATTAACATCTCGTATTAATTAAAAAGTTTGTAGTCTAGTGATAGTAATCTCTTGCAATAAGAGGTTACGGGTTTGAATCTTAGTAAGCTAGTTCGTTAGGAGCCTTGGGTGTTTGAGTGAAAAAAAATTGATTAAAAAAATTAGCATCTCGTATTTCAAAAACTAATTATTTAGTTTTTTATCGATTTTACATTCTTTTCTCACTTGTTTTGTTTTTTAAATTTAAAGAAATAGAAAAAATAGATATTATGAAAAAATTGATGAGAAAAGAAAATATTTTCTAAAATAAAATTATTTTAAATTGAGGGGAGTCAAAATTAATTAATATAATAAATAATTATTTTTAAAATAAAAGAGATTAATAAAAAAAATTTATTTAAAAAAAAACCAATTTATAATTTACTCACTTATAACCAGATATTTTATAATCAAGCTGGGATGTTGCAATGTTTTCAATAATGTCATCAAGAAAGTTGTAACATATGCCTTTGACTAAAGTTTTTAAAATAACGATAGATAGATTATTCCACAAATTTCAATAATTTACACTTTGCTATGGTCAATTGTCACCACCAACCTTGACAATTCCTGCACATTTGTTTTTCTTTTTGTGGGAACAATGGCAAATCCAATCCATTTTTCTCTTTAGAATATGAAAATGGAAGAGAAATATATTTAGATAAAGACAGGTCAAGGTCTACCTTGAGAGCAAAAGTTTCTCAAGAAAGGAAAACGTGGTCCTAAAGTTGCTTAGATACAATTAATTACGAAATTCAAGTCTAAATTTGTGATTGCTCAAATAGTCTTACTGCCAAAATTTCAACTTGATTGTGAGCCGTGTGGATATTTTTCAAAGATACCTTACGGTAGAGTAAAAGAAGTTTAGTTCATGTCCTTGTCAATCAAAATTAATTATTTTTTAATTTAGATATATAAAACACACGTTTAGTGGGACCATTTTCAATAGCATGTGAAAACTGTTTTTTTTTTTTTTTTTTGGCCTATCAGCTTTTGAAAATTGCCCATAAATGAGTTTTCAAAGTTTATAATATCTTGGAAAACAAATATATAAAGGAAAAACTATTCTTTTTTTTTAAAAAAAGTTTTAACTGTAAAAATATTTTTAATCAGTTTTTTAGGTTAAGATTAAGTTTTTCTTTAACTGGATTTTTAGTCGGCCATCCATTTAAATTAGTGCATTCTCAAAATATAATTTTCTTAGGCATTCTTTTTTGTTCGAAAATACCTCTCAGTTGAATGTGTGAAGTCAGAAGATTTTTTTTTTTTTTGGGAGCATTTTCGAGAAAAAAATTAATCATGTACAAATCATGTAATTTTTTCTAACAGTTTGACAAGAATAATTCATTTTAATGAAATATTGAAAACTCACTTAAAATACATGAATATAATTAACTTATTTTATAATATTACAATATATTGGAGATTGATCATATTATATAATTATAGACTGAACCATTTTTCATCACTTTTTTTTGTTTGTATATTTTTTTTATGGTTTTAACATTTTCATACCAAAATCATCAAATAAATATCTAAAAAATCATTAAACGTATTTTGAAATATAGCCCAAATGTATCATCAAACAAAACCTAAATCATATATCGGTTCTTGGATTCAATAGTTGGGTGACTTAGCATGACCAATTTTTAAAATTGAAATATGATTCAAAGAAAATTATAGATTTTAAATATCAATATAAAAATGACTTAGAGATTAATTGTGTATTTGATAGTTTCTTTCGATGAATTAAATTCAAATTTTAATAATTTTAATTTATTTGATTATTATGTAACGAGAGAGCTATTTTTCGTTAAATAATCCAAAATCTACGGGTTTTCGATAAACGTTAAAAAAATTAAAATAATAACATTCACGAATATTGTATGAAGTGCTTCTCCCATTCTTTTTCTTTATTATGAAGTGTTTTTTTTTTTTCTTTTTCAAAACACCATGAGACATGTTTTTGGCATTTCCTTGGCTAGGGCAATAATGAGGCAGTCCAATCACAAAAACTTTTGATTCTTCTTAGCTGCCAAACACAGTATTAAGTCATTAACAACAAAATGGCCACTAATAATGGCACAAATAATCATTGTGCAACCACCACACTACACGTACCGCACGTGTGGCCCAGGTTGACGGATTCTCCGTTTTCACACGGTGGCATGATTAAACGCCAACCGACTGCCCGCCGCTTTTCTTCCGCTTTTGACTATGACTTCCTCCAAAACCCACAGTTCCCTTAATCTCCCCACTCCTTTTCTACTATTACCAAATTGCCACAAAGATTATATATAAAGATCGTTATATTTATAAGAAATATTTTTAAACTTTCAAAGATTTTCCAGAAGATAAAATCTATCAAATTTACAAGTGAAAAGAAAATCTAATTTAATAACTAAAAATAAATATGTAATATATAAAGAGATTGTGGTTTAAACTTTATTTTGAGAGTTTGATTTTGATTTCCCTTCTTGAATCTAAAAAAATCTATTTTATGAACATAAATAGAAAAAACAAAGACTTAATGTAAAATATATTATTTTAAAAGCAATCCATATGGAATTTTCATTTTAAATTTTTAAATTATAAAAAAAAAATAGATTTTGAAATATATTTTTTTCAGTGGGGATAAAACATTATTCATTTATTTTGTTCGAATTTGAAATTCATATCTCAAACGACATGCATACCATATCGGATTCCGATTATATATATAAATTTTATTTTATTTTTTTCATATAATTGAAATAAACAAATATTTATATTTATGTCTAAATGCCCAAAAGCAGGGAACCATAGACACATAGTAGACACCATCCACCATGTATACACAAAAACAGAAAACAGACGACAAACCGTCTGCATCATAGTTTGACTATATAAAGGACCAAAAGAAGAAACTTAAAAAGACAATAACGTTTGATGACAAAAACACCCTTGTCTCTTTCCAATATCTACCATACTGGCACCACTCGGAAAAAAAACCAACTGGCCAATTCTGTTAATATGACAAAACTTCAAGTACTTTATTGTAATTAACGAAAATGTTACAGTTCTGCTGAGTCCTGATTCGGAAGCTTCTTTGTTTCTCTGTTGGGTCTTGGTATAGGATAGCAAGCCTTCTCTTTTTGACTTTTAATGGAAACACACTTTGATTTTTTGAGATTCCAGTGTTTTATTGATCTTTAGAGCTTTTACTCCTTATAATATAAAAAGGGTCTCTTTTAGAACCAGTTTTTTCATAGAGAATAGCTAAAGAGATCATTTTCTTTTTGTTCTTACACGGTAAAGTTTTTGTCTTTAGTTTGTTAACTATTTCGGGTTATTTTAAAATTTTGATTTTTGTGTTTCTTATTGGTGAATTTGGTGGTTAATGATCCGGTGTTGTGAAGGTCTTCTTTGTTGGTAATTTCAAAGTTTTGATCTTTGTAGGTTGTGGTGTGTTATAGAGCATTGAATTTTTGAAAGAATTATAAGGGAAAGATGCGTGCTCCATCTTTGCTTGCACAGTGTCTACCTGGTTTGGTACCTCAAGATAAAGGCAGTCATAGTATGTCAACTGTTTCAGAGAGAGATGCGAATCTTCCTACACCAGCTGTGGAGATTCTCCCTTCAAAGGTATTGTATTGTTCTTCTCTTAATTGATATGTATCAACTATGTTGGCTTGAATCTACCGATAAAAAAAAATGAAATCTATGACTTTGCCGTAGAATTTTTGAAATTGGTGGTGGAGGGGAAGCTAAAGTTGACTTCAAAATTGAATCATACCTCGCTTTTGTTTGTGTAGAGTGTCCATCCTTACAAGTATGCTGGGGAGAACGTAGAATTCCAAGGCCTTAACGTTTTCAAGGTATGCATAATCTTTGTTTGATGGTTATGTCAAAATTGGTTGTCTTTTATGCCAAAGGTTCTAAGGAATAAATGGGAGTTGGGATTTTTTTCAAAGTGAACTCCCTTGTGGAGTTATTGTCAGGAATTTTTTTGTGCGAGTTCTGGAAGTTACATTAGAATATTTCCAGACCTGCTTCTTCTAGGTATAGTTTATTTAATGGTCGGAGTTGTGAGCTTTGAATGATTCTTTTTTCAACCTCTTTCAGGGTAGAATTAGTGTTGCTGATATTATTGGGTTCACCGGTTCTGAGATGATATCCTCAAAAACTGATGGTTAGTAACACTTCCAGCTTGCACTAAAAAGTGAAAATGTTTGGTTTAATTACTCTGCGGCTAGATATATGAATACTGGTGCCAAGGATGCAGACTATATTGAATTGTTTGGCTTGAATTTAAAGCCTAAAACCATTGCGGTTTTTTGCAGGGTATCTAAAATCTTGGGATAGCGCTATTGATCTTGTTAATGTTCTCAAGCATGAGATTCGTGATGGACAACTGAGCTTCAGAGGCAAGAGGGTGCTTGAGGTAGTTAAGTTAAAGAGATGTTTGCTACTTATAATTCGTGCTTTGAGTTCATGATTTGAAGTCTTCCTTTCTGCATTTATAGTCTAAAACAAAAACTTACCTGATGATTTACAAGAAACCTCATTAGTCCCCATCCCTGAAAGTTCTGGTTGTGATGGGTTCCCTGCTGTTTGCTACTATGATAACTCTCCCTTTTCAAATGAAGTAATAAACAATATGACCTGACAGTTGATTTCTCCACTTGGTGATTGTTACAGCTGGGTTGTAGCTATGGTCTTCCAGGGATTTTCGCTTGCCTGAAGGTAAATGCCATTAACTGATTAAATGTTCCCTTCAGTACTGGCGATTTGTATGTTTTTGAGGATCTCTGTCAATATTTTACCAAATGAAGCTAATACAAAATTATACAGGGTGCTTCTACAGTGCACTTCCAAGATCTGAATGCGGAAACAATAAGGTGCACAACCATACCAAATGTCCTTGCTAACCTCGAGCAAGCTCGTGACAGGCAGAGCAGACAGACAGAGAGCCCCCTGACTCCATCAAGACAAATATTGGCACCATCAGTGCACTTCTATGCTGGGGAATGGGAGGAACTCCCCACAGTTTTATCTACTGTGAGGAACGATACATTTGAAGTGACAACAGGGATGAGCCTTAGCTTCTCTGAGGAGGATTTCATGGATGGATGTAGTAGCCAAGATGGTAGCATCATAGGTCAGGAGACTTCCTCAAGACGATCAAGGAAGCTTTCAGGAAGCCGGGCGTGGGAGAGGGCTAGTGAGACAGATCATGGAGAAGGGGGTATGATGTTATTCTGATGACAGATATCCCATACTCTGCGTCTTCTTTGAAGAGACTGTATGCTCTCATTAAAAAGGTTAGTTTATTGGTTTCTTGTTGCTCGATTCTTTGCTTTGTTTTATGAAAGAAAAATTTCAAATGATTTATTCTGTGACTAAGGTGACAGAGAAAATACGGTAGATATATGGAAAGTTGGTAATGTTGGGTATGATGAATAGAGAAAACATCTTTCTTTGGTAAATAAGCCTGCAAAACTTGAAACATGATTCCATCCGCATTTTGGAAATTTTGTGGAAGGATCATGAACCAATGGAATAAAACGGAAGTAGTTGAATGAAATACTGTGCTAGTTTGTTTTTAGTTGTCATGACAGCGGCAACCTTGGAATGAAACAATAAACCAATTAGTTATTATGTTTGCCATCTCATAATGGCGATATGCCGCACATGAATGCAGGATTAAAATCAGATGTTTTGTGTTGTTGAGCTCATGCAATACCTACATATTGTTTTACGTCCTGTTCTAGTAATTAGAAACTAACCTTTCATATAATCTCTCTCCAAATGAACTTGCGAATTTGATGCTCCATTTGTACTGAACATGTGCAAGTTGACTGTTTATTGATAAAAATTATCTTTGCTTTATGGTTTCATTCATAAATGCAGCATAACTAATTTGATCTTAAGAGCAATACAGATGGTAACCTTTTCGATATCTGATTAAGGTGAATTTTTATGCACATTTCGAATGGAATGAGGATTAAGTATAAAGTCTCATTTTGTTAAAAATAAAAAAAGAGTGGATAATGGTGTTAGTGTTTATTTTTATTAAAGATCCATTCTTAACTCTTGTTTTGCATGACCAGTGTTTGAGGCCACCATATGGAGTATTATACTTGGCAACAAAGAGAAATTATGTTGGCTTCAACAACGGAGCACGACAGCTGAGAAGTCTGGTAGATGAGGAAGGCATTTTTGGAGCCCATTTAGTTAAGGAGATGACTGATAGAGATGTTTGGAAGTTCTTTCTCAAGTGAACATAAAGTTCAAAACTCAACATAAAGTACCTGCTAACTGATCACATATTACAATTGTATTTGTTTAATGTTGTTATTTGTATATCACAGATCACAAATGTTACCAATTTTTTTTTTTTTTTCCAATGTTTCATAATAATGGAATCAGTATTTAAAAGTTTTGCTACTGTGCATCGTCCTCCTTATTCCTTCTGTAACCCCCTTTCCTCTTCCTCCTTGTTCATCCCTTCTGCTTAGATTCCTCAATCTTAGCTTGTATAAAAGAATATTCAGCGTTAAGATTCAAATCAGTGATGTATAATATCCTTTCGGTTTCGAACAGTTCCTAGTTATAGAATGCAATCGCAAGTTTTGCTTTCAGTTCAAATGCAATCAGTTCCCAACTATGGAGATGCAATTCCATGAACCCAAAGGTGAGAGTTCCAAGAATTGAACTACAATGAGCAGTTCATCCATAGGTGGTGAGGCCGTGTTTGCATCTACATTTTGTTCCAATGTTGGCTTCACTCACTCTATCACGACAATGATAAAGCTTTTTCTTGCCAGATCAATGGCTATAACGAGTTTCTCATATGGCCCTAGACTTGCAAACTTGTGTGCAAATGGCATGATTCCTGAAGGTTGGATCCTATATTTCTCAGTTGTTGAAAGGAACCTTCACATCAAGGGTTGTCGTTTGTTGTTTGAATTAGTCTTCTTGTACGGAAGTCAATGATGGAACTTTTAGACACAAATTAGGGTTCTTCTTCTAAGAAACGTGTAAAACCCTTAGCGTACACTGGCAGCACCAATACAAATTTTGGTTATTTTGTCCTGAAGGAGGAGGTTGAAAATGCCATGATGGGAGAAGCATACACGACACACGCCATGGTCGAAAGTTTGAGATATTGTCTGACTCAATAAGGCGTCTTGGTCCGGGAAAGCTGCCATTGACTCACTCCCAAGTCCCAAAGCAATAGACAATTTGGATGCCTCGTGCAATTCGTTTAAACATGGAAAATTACTCATGAAACTATTTCTTGTGCTTTAAATTGCAGCTGATTCTGGAAAAAGCATCAAGATTCCTCGGACCATGTACAGCCTTGAAAAGAAATCATCTAGCAGACTATCACAACAGCTTGTTAGTGTTTGGAATCCAAAATTGTTCAAAAGATAACAAAGAAATGCTCTTTTATGTTTTGACCTGATGCATAGAATTTGCATCCAACTATTCATTAGGTATGCCGAAGACAACAACACGACCCATTTACATTATAAAAAATTCTCGTATTTAGCCGACAGAGTTATCAAGTCAATGATCAGCATAAGTCATTCTATGCAGCATAATACAATGTGCCTTTCAAATAGGATCATACTATAACGCCCAGTCCCCCAAATCTTAGCAAGGAGTTAGCGGGCACATCCAAGCTCAAATAGTTGAACCAAACAAAGACCAAAAAGAGAAGGAGAAAAAACGTATCTCAAGAGGGAAAAAAAGATCTCTTCCATGTTGCCATATGCCTGTAACGTACAAAACATTTCTTTGCACAAAGTACATAATTGTCATTGATGCTCCTGCTTGTATGCTTCCACAGTCAGTCCTGGTAAAGAAGGGCACGACTTCCCAAAAATTCACCTACTATATATTACTGTCAGCTTCGATTTTCTGATAATCTTCTCTGCACCATTCTCCCACAATGCAACATGGTTAAGATTGCCATAAGATAGAGTAGAGGAATGCCAACCACACAACCTCCCCGTGCAAAATTTACCAGTGTCTAAGAAGAAAAAGATAAAGAAGTTGGTTAAAGTTTTCAGCAGTGATTACAGGAAAATGTTCCAAGTCATTAATAGACGGGAAGAGTTTTCCAAGTTACATACCGAAGTCGGTAAAAGTTTTCAGCAGTGATTACAAGAAAATGTTCCAAGTCATTAATACATGAGAAGTGTTTTCCAAGTTACATACCAAAGAGCTTATAGCCCAATAGTAGTGGTCTCTTGCAACAAGAGGCCACGGATTCAAATCCTAGTGCTGGAGCCTTGGTTGCGTAAGTTAAAAAAAAAAAAAGTTACATCTCCTCAAACTTAACTATGTATACTCCGAATCAACAAATTTAGTTGCAAGATTGCTATTTATATGCAGATTAAAGGTTTTATAAACTAATAAGCCATTTCATCATGCTTTAGAACCTCTGGACTGATGAAGTTAATTCACATGTAAAAAATTAGCAATATCAGGATCTAATTTTACGGATCCAGTTGCAAGGTTCATCACTTGCATGGTGGGATAATTGCACTATAAGTACACCAACTTTTACTGTTTTCTAAATCGAGTATGTGAACTTTAATTTTTTTTTCGTTTGAGTACACCGACTTTTTCAAAACTACAAATCAATTATTTTTTATCCAGCTTTTGTCAATTGCTCCGTTATTTGATGACGTGTCGTTTTCCTTAGACTACTAAATTATGATTTTTTTCCTTTCATTCTTGGAAGGAACTTTCTCTCCTGTATTATTTTGCCCTTTTCTACTTTTTTTTTTTTTATAGTGAATACCCAAATAGGAGAAGAAGTTCCCTCCAAAAATGAAAGGTCAAAATTGTAATTTAGTAGTATGGAGCAAAGAACACATCCTCAAATAACATAGCAATTGATAAAAGTTGGGTGGAAAATACTTGATTGGCAGTTTTGAAAAGGTTTATGTACTCAAACACGAAAAATTAAACTTCATGTACTTGATTCAAAAAACATTAAAAGTTAATGTACTCATAATGCAATTATCCCCCTGAGTGGCCATAGCATATTCCAGCATATATGTTGAAGTACTGCTGTTTAGAGACCACGTTACATATTTAACTCATAAAGCACACAGGCAATGATTTTAGATATGTAAAGCATATACGTTAAAAGTACTCCACATAAAATAAATGTTACATATTTAACTCATAAAGCACACAGGCAATGATTTTAGATACATAAAGAAGAGAGGGATTTTACCACCATTCCTGCAACAAGGTGAACTGCAGGGACAAAAAATTGGTCCAGTCTATTCCCTTCAGCATACCCATTGAATGCAATGACCATTGAGAAAGTGTGAATGGTAACAAATGCAAGAGCAATGATTGCTGCAATTAGTAAGACAAAATTAATGTCAGCAACCAAGAATTCACAATGGACTTACAGAAAAGTCCATGTCAACAATCCCTTGAGGATCATTATCTACAAGGTAGCGAAAAATAAGGCAAATATGTATTAATTAACTCCATACCATCTAAAGAAAGTAAACTTGCATAAAAGAACAATACTAACCAGAAACAAGAAAAAAGGGTAACTGTGAACACTTGTCGACAAAGAATGTTGCTGGGCCAAATGCTGGTGTTAGCAGGCTAAGACAAAAGAACACAGCATGGGCTAGACCATGACCTAAACCACCAGCTGCATGATTTCATTTAAAGTTGCATCAGCTTGCATGTCACATTAGCAAGAAAACATGCTAGGGGACCATTACAAATAGTCACCTGAAATCATTCACAATATAACCAGTCAAAAAAAAAAAAAAAAGTTTATGGGTAGCAGGTCTGCAATTTGTGCCACACATGTATTTAACATTTTGTTGCAATATTAGAAGATTCCTATGTTTTTTTTTTTTTTTTTAATTCCTTGTTGAGCTAACCATATGGTTTCACAAGTCCATGTGATTAAAATTCACTACTAAGTCAAGGTCTTCTAAATTCAATGCAATCACAAGCTTAGCGCTAATCATCATTACAAAACCATTGTATTCTGGGAAGATCAGTAAATAAAACAAAAATGTTCTGCTAGGACATTGCAGCCTGAAATATCAGCCTTTAGTTGACACAAACAGCAATCTTGTGACAGTAAAGCAAGGTTTGGCTTTTAACTAACAACAATAGCATAGAATGATAACTGTAGTGCCATTTGAAGTTTTAAGTCATAGGCTGTAGCAATTCTGGCAAAACTAGTACGATTCAAAGACATATGTAAAGCATACCTAGAGAAATTAGCATCTTGTCTGTCAGAAATAAGCGTGGTTTTGCAAGTCTGTCAGCAAAAGCATCCAACATATCTTCCAATCGCCTACATAAAGTCCATCACAAACAATGTTACCAAAAACCAACAGAGACTTCATAGATTCTCAATCATCAGTTGCACCTAGGAAAAACTGCTTACTTCATAGACATCAGTATCTGAAGTGGATTTAAAAAATTACTATTCTTTATTACATATTATTTTCCTCATAAATGAAATGCAGAGAGAAAAAAGATGCATTTGTGGTTTTAGCCAACTGAATACAAGAAGGCAAATGCAAGGGATTCGGAAATAACTAGGGTAGATTCCACATGAAGGTTACTAACAGCTCAAAGATTTACCAATTTACAAACAATTTCCTAGCTTTGCAAACACTAACCTCAGAGTTTGTGAATCATTTACAATATATCTTAATAGGCCAAACATTCTCAGTAAATCTCTGAGCAATTGCATATTCTCTCTTGTTATCACATTGAGGTTTATGCTTTATATAAGAAACTCCACACATTTTCTCCAGAAAGCTGCCGGATTGTGAACTTCAATTGCAAAATCAAGTAATTTGCAATCCAAACCCATCATACTTCATAGACACTTCATCAACAATAAAGGGTAAATGAACAAGAATCCATCATAATTATGAAGCACAAGCTTTTAGCAAAGAAATTATAAGCACAGCTATCTCAAAACCTGAACAAAGTGCCATACTTACTTGTGAACTTTCCAAAAAAGAATCCGAAGCCCTTCTTGAAAACTAATTGATGTGAGTATAAGTATCACAAAGGGCCACCATGTAGTTGATTTCAGAGGAAGAAAAGCCCTCCATACTCCAGCTAGCACAATCAAACTCATAAGCCATAGTAGGGTACTACAAACATCAACAGCCAAAAAACCCATCACTAAAAAACTATTACAGTTCACAAACAAACAAGAAAAACAAGTAATTAACCAACATTTTCACTTAAAAAAAGACATTCACCGAAATACAATGTAGATAACATAACAAACTAAGCAATACCCATTCCTGTTAAAAAGAAGATCTTTTAACTTAAAATTCGAAATCTCCAAAAACCCACGAGAAAGACCCTACAAAAATGCATCATAACCTATTTCATGAAAAACCCATTTCTTCTGAAGTTCAAAACTTTTACTACAAACATAGATTACAGTTAATTACAAACAAAACCCATTTCTTCATAAGTTCAAAATTTTCACTTAAAAATCTAATTATCCAAAATGAACCCAAACATCCCATAATATAAAACACACAAAAGACAGGGAATTAAATCTATAAACAAGAGATGGGTCAGTGTAAGTTTGTCACCTCGAGAGAACAGTGAGGATTAAAAAGGGCTTCTTGGCGATAACAGAGATAAATAGCGAAAGAGATGGTCCTAATGCTAGCAAGGCGTACCCGATCCCTGCTGCTACTGTCATTTTTGTTTTTGGGTTTTTGTTATTTTCAAGAGAAATCTCGGGTCTTTATAGGTTGGTAACGGCGGCGATAAACGACTTGTTATCCTTTTTCTGCTATATGCTACGTGGACACGTCAGAACAAGTCTAAGACCATACCCATACAAATAATATATATATATATATATATATATATATATATATATATATATATATATATATATCAAGGCGCGAGAGATTTAGAATTTCCTATTTTAAAACTAATTTTTGTTCATCGAAAGTGGGTAAGGAATGGTCATTTCTCAGGTTAAAAAATAAAAAATAAACATAGGATGATAATTTGTTGACATACGCTTAGTAAAAAAGTAAAATAAATAAATCAAAAATATATTTTTTTGTTTAAAAATATTTAATGTCAAAAGAGTTATTTTAGAGTACAAATTAGTCACTATATATATTTTTAGTAATTTTCAAAAAAGCTATAAATGTATAAATTTTCTAATTTTTAAAGGATTTTTTTTTCTATAAGGCGGATAATTAAACATCATTCTTATTTTCATATATATACTTGTTTTGCATCTATTGCGTAATGTAATATACGTTTCAAAATGAAAACAATTATTTTCATATTATTTTTCATCATTCTTATTTTTATTTTTAAATAAAATTAAAATAGCGAGTGGTTTATTATTTTCTGATATTTTTATAGTAGCTTTACAAAATAAAAACCATAATTTTCATATTATTTTTTTATCGTTTTTTAAGTAAGATCAAAATGAACCTCAACCCAATTAAACAATAGAACATATAAAACCTCAAAACATAGCAACAAATATAGTAAAATATTTATAATTTGTATTTATGAGTGTCTTCCTTGTTACATGTGATCGAGTTCAAAATGATTGATGTCTGATAAAATTTAAACAAATCGAGTTTGAATTTTATACCTTGAACTCATAACAAAGAGACTAATCTTAATCGAACACATCAAAACTCAATTTGATTCCTTTTCAATCCTAATTACCATCTTAATTAGCAATTTTTTTTTTTTGATAGAAATTAATAATTGTTTTAGTTTTGACTAAAGTTTAAGAAGGTATGTAGCTTCGATATTATTGTTGTATTATCCTAATAATCTTTTAAAAATTGCTTATGTAGATGAAGATTCTTGAGAACTGATAAGATGACTAGTCAATAAATAGTTAAGATACATAATGCTAGTGTTGTGATTTGTATAAATGATAGCTAACCAACTAAACAAAAAAGATGTAAATAACAAGAGGTGTCTAAGGAAGAGCATGTAATGTTAACATGACGTAAGTCGAGTGATTGATAGATGAATAGTTAAAATCTATACAAGTAGAGCTTTAAGTGTTGTTTATATGTAAGTTAAAAAGCTTTTATATGTAGACTTCAAAAAGGTTTTTTTTTTTTTTTTTTTTTTTGCTCGAGATTAAAAGTTCGAAGTTAAAAATTTTACGATGCAAAAGTTCTCTCATGCAAAAGTTATTGACAAAAGTTCGATCCCCCTTATAATGATACGAGACCGATATTTATAGCAAAAAAAGATAATCTTTGACTGCTAAGATCATGTCATCTCATCCAAGTTTGGACGAGTTATATTTGATTTAAATGATTTAGGTTCTTTGAGTTAAACCGATTCAACTTGCTAGTAAAAACTAAATGAAGTAACAATTGAGCATTTTTTTAGCGGATCATATTTCAAACTCAACAAGCCAATCTCTCTAATGCATCATAAAACAAAATATGAATATTGGTCTTGCCGAATACCCTTATCCATTCTTACGATCCAAGACTTTATGTTGAGTTAGATTCATTCTTAGTTCAATCTATTTACTCGTGTAGTTTGTACTCCATGTGAAAATTAAAAAGCAAAATAATATGAATCAGTACATAATAAAATCATTTAATTAATTTTAAAGTAAAATCAAGCTTATACAACTTGATTTCTTAAAATAGGCCTTTTTCAATAATTTTTTTATTTAATTATTTATAAAATGCTCGATTCTACAAAACTATACTATAAATTTTAAATTAATGAATTTCAGTTTAATTAGTTTTCATAATTGAATCCTTTTACCTTCATAAAACCATATAAAATTATATTTTAAACAACATATTCCCAATGCATATTTGCAGCGGAAACAAAGTTTTACTCATTGTAATATATATATATATGTATATATATATAACTTATTTTGCCCCTAATATACAGAGAAATTGTAAATTAGTCCCTATATTTTTAAGAATTAAATTAATTAATCTTTTTTATTTTAAAAATTAATTATTTAATTTCTTGATCAATGTTAATCATGTTTAATTTAATATTAATTTTTTTAATGCTATATTGTCTCATCAATGATTTCATATTTTTTACTTATTTTTTATATTTTTTAAATTAAAAAAGAAATATTAAGTTATAAGAAAATGTAAAAATATAAAAATTAAATAATTAGTTTTTTGAAATAAATAAGACTAATTAGCTAGCTTTTCAAAACTAGAGGGACTAACTATAATTTAGTCCTAATATACAGGGGCTCTACGCCAGTGACCCCATAAAGCTCTTTACGTTCTCTGGGATCTTCTTCTCCAAGTCGAGCAAAGACAGTACTGTCAAAGACATGGATGCAGAGGAACACAAATTGCCACTCAGCCAGAATCCAGAGTGGGCAGACGTGACACCAATCCCACAAGATGATGGACCAAACCCAGTTGTCCCTATCGCTTACAAGCCAGAATTCGTTGAAACCATGGGCTATTTCCGTGCTGTTTATAAAGCTAATGAGTTATCTCCTCGTGCACTTCAACTCACTTACCGAGCTATTCTCTTGAATCCTGGCAATTACACTGTAAGTGCCCCAGTTCTTGTTTGTGTTTACTTATTTGTTGATTTTGTGTTTTTTGGTGTTTCTGATTGTTTTGGTCTTGCGGGTTGTTTGTTTTGTGGCTTTTTTGGATTTCTGTGGGTTGTCTTGGGTTTTTATGGTGTCTGGGATCGTGGGTTTGTTTTGTTTTTGCATAACATTGTGAGTTTTGTAATGGATTCTATTTTGATTTGCAACTGGTTTTGTTTTTTGAATGTTTATGATAGGGTTCTGCTATTGTCAATGCAGTGAGAGACTTGATTTAGTGTTTCTATTGTTTGTTTTGAAGGTGTGGCATTTCAGAAGATTGATACTTGAGGGATTGGGTATAGACTTGCACGAAGAACTGGATTTTATTTTGGGGATTTCAGAGAATAACCCCAAAAATTATCAGATTTGGTGAGCAAATACATATTCCCTTGAATTTGAGATGGTTGCATTGACTAATTAGTTGTTCATTTTAGCTTTAAAGTAGATGGTGCTTGCCACATTCAGTGACGTGGTTTGCAGTTTGAAGGAGCATCTTAATTTCTTCGAGATCAGCTGTAATTTCTAATGCTAGCACTAAGTTTGGTTTTTTTGAAGTTTTCAACTTTAGTGCAATTTCTTTAGGAATGTTAATTCATTTTTATTCTAAACCCATTGTATAGATGGGGCTGGGTGGATTAGTACATTAGATTCTTTTGAAGAATGTGTGTTTAGTAACTTGTCGCAGAACCGACCCTCTTAGGCTAATTGTACAATCAATGTCAAGAATTTAGTCTTTTTTAGTTTATAACATGATCTTGCAAATACCATAATGTTAATTGTAATTATGGATTTCTTGCAGGCATCATAGGCGGTGGATTGCCGAGAAATTGGGAACAGATGCTGCATATAAGGAGCTTGAGTTTACTAGGAAGATGCTTTCCCTTGATGCTAAAAATTATCATGCCTGGTCTCATAGGCAGGTTTGTTGTTCTCCCATCACCCCCTCTTATATTAGATACATGTCATAGAGCTCTCATTGGTATGATATTTTTCAAAGTTTGTCATTTGTATACACATCATCTATTTTTTAATTGAATTCTTTTCTCTCTCTCTCTCTTGGTACAGTGGGTATTACAGGCTTTAGGAGGGTGGGAAAATGAACTCGACTATTGTTATCGGCTGCTTGAAGAAGATGTTTTCAATAATTCTGCTTGGAATCAAGTAAGTACAAAATTTCTTGCACATGCTGTTTATATCCTAACCATCATAACAAAGATGAAGTGTTCTGTGTGTATCTTAATCATATATTGAGTTCATTATACTGACATCCTGCTTATGGACTATTCAAAAAAGAAGAAAAAGTGGTGCTGATTTACAAGGTTTTTCTTGTTTGCACTGTGAATTAGTATACAACTAACTTGTCAGAAACTTTGAGCATCACATTCATTTTACCTTTTTTGTGCTTCCATTTTGCATATATTGTTCTTCTTTCCTTTCTGGCACAACAATTTATCTTTATCTGTTTGTTCCATGACAGAGATATTTTGTGGTAATTAGATCTCCCCTCCTGGGAGGCCTAGAAGCCATGAGAGAATCCGAAGTAAAGTATACTGTAGAAGCCATTTCAGCCAAACCTGAGAATGAGAGCCCATGGAGATATCTTCGCGGCCTCTACAAAAATGACCCCAAGTCTTGGATCAATGATCCTCAAGTTTCTTCTGTATGCTTGAAGGTTTTGAGTGCTGAAACCAACCATGTCTTTGCTCTGAGCACACTTTTGGATCTTCTCTGCCATGGGTTCCAAGCTAACCAACAGTTTAGAGATGCTGTAGATTCTCTGAGGCCTTCAAACTCCGACCCGCCAGATTCGGACTTGGCAAAAACAATTTGTTCAATCTTGCGGCATATAGACCCAATGAGAGTTAACTATTGGACATGGCGCAAGAGCAAGCTGCCTGCATCAGTCTAAGTGTGGGTGAAGCACCCATCTGTGGCTTTTTGTTGTTATAAGAAGTGGGCAGTGAGGACGAGATGGGTAGCAAGGACTGAGGGCATGGTTCTGAAAACTTCGTTCTGGTGACATGAACGATTCAAGAGTATGAAAAACCCCAATCTAATTTGATTTTGGCTTGGCATTCTAGACAACTTCTTTCAAGGCCAACTAATTCACGCAAACATCCATAATTTCCAACTGACTACACCTTGTGCTATTGCGTGTTGTGTAATGTATTACTAGACTGTAAATTCCTTTCTGTTTTACTTTGATAAAACTAAGGTTCTTGACATTTGTAGTAATTTAGTGTCTAAAACTTGCAGTACAAAATTTCCACCCAAGGGAGAGATATGTGGCCGGGATGGCATATAAAGTAAAATTGCAGGCATTTATTTTGCTTCCATAGGATGTGCAAAATGCCTTGATGACCGTTGCTGGCAAATTCTGATAATGGCATGTGACAGGAGGTTTATAATGAATCTACAAGTCAAGGCTGCTCTTAGCCAAGAATTCAAGAGGTCAGGCTTGAGAATGGAAAGTTGCATTGACGCTCATGACCATCAGCACTAATAATCATTTTCAAAGCACAAGGTCCCCAAGGGGTCCCTTGGTTAAAACTTGGAACTTTTGAGTAAATCATCTCAAACTCAGGCGAAAGAAAGGTAGGGGAAACGTGGGATTTCTACTACAACTCAAACTCAAACCAAGAGATCAAGGGTGCAGGAAGTAATATAGGGATTGGGATTGGCCACTTAGTTGGATATACCAGGGAATTGGACCAAAAGAAAATTTTAAGAGCAAAAGAAAACACAATTTGCCCAAGAATGGTTACCGTCACTGAAATGCATTTTGTGGAATGCAATATTAAAGCAAAGCAAAATAGATATAGATTTGATTCAATTGTTACATATACAAGTTAGTTTAAATAAGTCCCTCCCAAAACTGCATTGCTTCTATTGCCTTTCCAAGAATACAAGGGAACCATATTTGCCTAAAGAGCACCAATGTGTGACGCTCAGCGGCATGAAATGACTCAAAACTAGACTTCCTTGGCTATTGCAATGCAAATACAAAGTAAAAACAGGAGGGAAAAAAATCAAAACCAACTAGTGTTTTAGAGCCTTTTTGCTCTGACTAGACTTTTTCTGCTTGGATGCTGGACTTGAGGTCTCCTTAAATGCAGATGGGCAGAGCTCACTTATGCTGCACATTCCACAGCGAGGTCTGAGCGGAGTACAAATTGTCTGCCCAAATCCCACCTGTTAAATTTCATAGGCAACAAATTGCATTTGGTTAATATTAGTAACATGCTTATGAGTTTATATTACAGCTCTACAGTAAGAGAGGAATTATGCAGCTTTTGTTGCACCAGTCAAAGATGGAACATGTCCTGGGACACTTACTACTAGGCCACTGATTCAAAAAATCATACCAGAGCACATTAGGAGGCTCGGATAAGCCTACAGAATCTTCTGTTGCATAACTCCAGAAGATGGCAAAAATAAATAAGGACTTTCCAGGATTACAAGTCTTTCAAAATGTTTCAATAAATGGAACGTGAATTTGACATGCGCCAACTTGCATATATACAATTGAGAATTCTGGACATGTATATTTTGATTGCATACATGTAGGAGTACTCGATGTCTGCTTGCACTCAAACCAATTATTTTTGTGAACCTCTGTGATGTATGTTTGAGTGTAATGAATGAGCTACACATACCAAAAGAGGGTTTATTGGAACCCATTCTTCCTTTGGAAGCCATATTTGCAAAGCCTCTCTCGTTTCCTCTGGAGTTGAAGTTTTCTGATGACAAGAAAAAGAAAGAAAAGGAAGCGATGAAAGTGAATATAAACAGAGAGAAAGAAGCATATAAACTTAATGCAAATATATAAAGAGATAAAGGGAGACAATTTATGATAAAAAGTCTTATCTGATTTGTATTCATCATAAACAGTATAGGAAGTATAAATATGATGAATGCAATAGCTTTATGAGCTCACACGTTACAAGGTCACAAACTGTGTAGGCCTTTGCAAGATTCTCTTTGAAATTACACTAAATTTGGAACTTTTACAAGCATCATTTAATGCTTGATACATTTCCTTGCATCATTGGAATTTCATAACAAGTCAGACTCAGAAAAGAAAAAGAAATAATAAGTAAAATCGAGCAATGTCATCACCAGGAACTGCAATGGAAGGTACCTGCTTTGTGCCTGGTCGTGCCACCCATCCAAGGCGATTGCAAATGCGGTGCACATGGGTATCTACACAAATCCCTTGAACATTGTTCCAAGCAATATTCATTACCTAAAGCACCATAAACCGAAAGCTTTAAGAAACTAACCCAACATCCTTAATTACAAAGATTAATTCAATTAAGGCCATACCAAATGAGCCATCTTTGGTCCTATCCCTGGAAGGGACAATAAGTCCTCCAAAGAGCTAGGTATGTCACTGTCATACTTCACGAGGCAAATTTTTGCAATCTTCTTCAAATTACTAGCTTTTCTTGTATAAAAGCCAACCTAAAGTAAGAAACGGCACAATTAACCAAAACAGCACAACTAACCAATGCTGCAAATGGTAATAATAATAGTGATAGTGATAGTGAAAATAGTAAATTAACCCCATTTATTTAGATGCTGAATGTCTCAGGTAAAACAAGAGAACCTCTCACCACCTGTTCATGTGGTACTGACAACACATACCGGGTAAATCAAGTCCCTGATTGTTGTTTCATCAGCTTTGTCAATGGCATCAGCAGTAAGCAGATTATTTTGATGAAGACGCTGAATTGCCCCTGCACTCAAAACAACCTTTCTGATGAAACAGCGAATAGCTCAACATGCCACATGAAAGTTTTCAGGGAACAGGATATTCCAAAAACTCTTAGATCCTAAACCTTTTTTTTTTTTTCATATATATATATATATAGAAGGAGACAAACTATTATTATTTATGGTATGAACTTGCCATGAGTAACATGATCCTTCGTTTGGCTTGACAGAAGTGACGACACCAAGACAGCAAATCTTCTTTCCTAAACAAAAGACGACAAGTATTAAAATTAGTTAAAATATCATTATAATGCCAAATTTTAAGAATTTAGAACCCACCAAAATGCAAAACTACTTGTACAGGACCTTAGAAATTAATCAGAAATGAAATTTACAACGACAATTTTGTTAAAGTTCCAAACTTTCAGTAAAACAAGTCTGAAGACACAGATCACTGAAATTGTTTTCACAGAAAATTCATTAAAATTCATTCATTGGTCAAATACAAGAAATAGATAACCACTCTAAAAGCACAGGGATTTCTCTCCAAAGATACTGAGTCAAAATTGGTTCTAGTTGCTTGAATCACAACATTTTCAAAGCTAAGAAGAGTTGATAGTGGTGACTTTTCTTTTGAAATGACCTTATCGTCATTATAAAAAGGTACATGCCAAACAATGATTTGTTAAAATAGAAGCCTAAAAGGAGGCAGAAATTTTGCAAAGAAAAAGAAAATCCACTATAAAGGAAAGGCTCCATTGCAGTAAGCTCAAAGGTCTCCCAAAGGCAGAGCAATAGGTATAATCTATTACAAACAAAGCACCTACTTCAACAAAGAACTGTGCAGATGGAGGCACTCATTAAACACACTCACATATCTGGAGATGTAAGTTTACAATATTAGCAAGCCTTGAAGAGCTTCTGAGCCATCTCATGGGAGGTCTGTTTAGCCACCAAACTAACACTTTGAGACCTATAGTCACAATGACATCTAGCAAAGTTTCTCTGTGCAACAGCTATACAAAATTAAAAACAAACGAAGCCATAAACTAAGACGATCATATAGGTGCAGAGGCAGTGAATCATTAATAAAAAATAAGGAAGAAAGTGGGGGACCATCTTGCCAAAGTTTGTTACAGAAAACAAAAGTAATACTCAAAAATATGATTTTGTGGGAGTAATATGCAAAATGACAAGAACAGTACCTCAGGAGGAAGAGAAATGCCAGCTTTCTCACATCCCATGGTATCTACTGGTGCATCTTCAGAAGACCTCATTTTACGAATCCCTTCTAGGACTTTCTCCCAGTTGAGAGGTGGTTCACCTGCATCAAATAAAACACGTCATTACCAACAAGCAACAAAAGAAAACAGAATCAACATTTACATGCGTTCATTGTTTAAAATATCCACATCAAAATTCTGTTTCCTCTAAAGATCAGATCCAGTTAAACAAACTACAAAATTCTCAGTCAATTGACAATGTCAATTAATATCCCACTTTAATATATGACACTGAACTATTGGTTGGTAGAACTAGCAGAGACAACAGCAACAAATATGGAATGTTGTGATTAAGATGGGCAATGGCTCATTCAACTGATTGAAGCCACAGATCTTTTGTCCTTTTTTTTTTTTTTCCAGATACTCATATTTGAAATCAAAATATTGCTTCAACTGCATGCTTCATCCAACAAATGGTATTTGCTTCAAAGTAACCGCCACCCTTAACCCTGAATACCTATTCCCTGCCTCTCAAATCTTTGATTATGCACTTTTATTCTTCTATGCGAGAGCCATTTTCCATGGGTTTAAGTTATGACAATCTGGATCAATCATTAGTTTCTTTCAACCACTGATGCTCCCATAAGAAAATGTCTTTCCATCCACTTATTGTAAAATAAAATATCTTTACAACACTCTCCTACCCTTCACCTGCCAATTTCAAAATCGATTTGACACCATACAATTCTTCATACCTGGAGACCTAATAGTAGAAGCAACTTCACTGTCCATAGGAAGCACATTTTCAGTACAGTTTGACTTCCCTGCAGAACATTTCTAAGGGAAATCAGTACACTTTATGTTACGAACAACAAAACAAATAGAAATATAACATTTAGCGTCCATGTCACAAGTTTAATAAAATAGAACTATCAACAGAGTATGCACTTCTGAGTAAAGGTTTTCAGGACAAAAATGCATATAAAATCCTCCAAGAACTGAAATATTCAGCTCAACTTCATTGTGACTTAATATTCTACACTCTAAGCATCCTCAAACACAGTAATGAAAGCACACACAAAAAAGAAAAAAGGAAAGCATCTAACTTTACATAAACACTAATCCCCTACACCCCACATGCAAATTTCTCCGTCAAATTTACCCACTTTCCCTTTTCATCCTCTCCTACTTAAATTCCATACCTTTACATTCTTTACTAAAGAAGGTATCACTTACTTATCAGAGCAGACTCGCTTCCTTTCTTGTATGCAAATTCTTCAATGTCAGGTAAAGCAGACAGCTACACCACACGGATTAATCAAAATTATTAATCTTATAAACAATAAAATCATCAACCAAAAAAGAAGAAGAAGAAGAAGAAGAAGAAGAAGAAGAACATAAAAAAGACACTTACTTTCTGCTTCCTGGGCTCTACTTTCACCTCCTCTTCAGCAGCTTCAGCGGTAGTTTTCACTCGCCTTTTCCTCACAAAAACACGAACTTCAGGCACAGAAACTTCATTAGAACCTGAAATTCATAAACAAAAGACCAAAAGGGTATACTTAAAAACCCAAAAAGATTCCAACTTTAACAATAACAATAACATAAGGACATTTGGCGAGTTTAAGGTTTTGTTTCTCTCCAACCTGGGACTGTGTCTGAAGTGGGAATCGCTGTTTTGGACTGGAGGGACTTAGAAGAAAATCTTGCGTTGGGCATTTTTTTACATTTGATGATTAGGCCTTTTGTTGTTTGTAGTGTACAATGAATTCTGAGGATAGCTAGAGACATTTGAGCTTTGTTTTTTCAAGGAATATAGGGAGGCAGAAGAATTAAATATTTATTTTATTTTAATACCATTATGGATTTTGACACTGTATTTTATTTTATCACATGATATACGAAGCAGGTCAGTAAATTTTCTCGCACTTTTTTCTCAATTATGGCAGCATCATTTGGATAAATTAATATAATTAAACAAGTTTATCTAAAGACAAAATTAATCAAGCAGTTTGCAAGAGTTAAAATAGGTTTAAAAAAATAACATTTATTGAAGTTAAAAATGTTGATAAAAATTGTGAATTAAACAGAAGAGGAACAATAATCTTAGCCAGAAAACTTGACATAGATTCATAAAAAATTCCTTGACATGGATTGCTTGGACTTGGTCTGCTATTGAATGAATTCTATTGCATTTAGGTCCTCATTCTTTGTTTTCTTCCAAATGATACCATTACATTGTCTTTAAGATAACACTGAAATGGAAAAATTAATCTTGTAGGATAGTTGGTCACACTAGTTTCTCCTAAACCGATCTTTATTTTGATTTGTCAAAGAAGAGCTAAACGTTTAATCTATAATATAGACTCGAATATAAAATATCCTTTACAAATATTCATGAAAGCGAGTTAAACTATAAAATTTTTCTTTTTCAATTTAAATTAATTTTATTATTTTTGGATTAGTGTGTTTATGTTACCGAACAACTTTGTCAATTAAGACTTATAAAGAAGGAAACATTTTTTCCTATCGAAAAAAAAGTTGTTTTTGGAACATAAATTCGATTTCTTTATTTATTAAAATGATACACTCACCATTTGGGTAATTTTATATTTTTTTTTATGTTTCGCAATTGTTATTTTAATCATTACTTATTGAACACACGTAAATTAAATTTAGAGAACAAAATATATTTAGAATTTTATTCTTGTAATTTAGGAGGAAGATCCTTTTTTATTTGGATAATGGTAGAGATACTTAAAAGTCATTTTCTCTAAAAAATTGTAACCATCTTTTTTTCAAATAAAAAATGACTAATGGTCCGGGCTTGTCAATGCTACATACTGGGCTTGGTGCTGATAATTCTTGGGCCTGGACCATAAGCATTTTAGGGCCAGCTGCTGTCCGTTTCTTGTAAAACTTGAATAATACCTACTACTTCCCCCCCCCCCCCCCCCCAAAAAAAAAAAAAAAAAAAAACACTTAACCTAGAATGAAGAAGTTTAAATGACAAAATCAGAGCAAAGCTTGTTTTCTCCGTATAAAATTTTAAGGAGTAACTGTGTTCAAGAAGGGGACAAATCACATTGATGTGTGACATGTATTGTGGTGAATTTGCTTGTAGTAAAGCCTTTGTTGTTATAGTATTGAGTGATGCCAAACATGGATGTAAAAAACCGGACGAAGAACTTTAAGGATACACATAGAACTGTTAGATTATTAGATTAACGAAGCCAATAATTGAATGTTATATTAAGATCACAATTTAATGATTTACAGTCTTTTTGAAGTTTTTTCTTGTTATTTATCATTTATCTTTGGTATTTTTGTTAAAATTTAATATTAGATCATATATAATGTAAGTTTTTCTTGATCACAAGAGTTCAACATCAAGTTGGAAAAAGTAAAATTCTCTTGATTTTTATAATGCTAAAATAGCCAAACCTTTTCTCTGAACCTTATTTCATTTGAAAATCAATATTCGAATTTTTTGAATTTGTATTTTTATCTCTTTAAAACTTAGTTTTTTCTGAAAAAAAAAAAAATCCATCATACAATTTTCAACTATCATTCCTTTTCATTAAAAAAATCAATTTTTGATATTTTAATTCAAAATTTTGCACACATATTAGAAAAAATCCAACCTATTTTATAAAAAAAAATTCAAAAAAAAAATCATGGTTGGGAATTATATATTTTTTTATTTTTTAAACATTAAAAATAAAAAATAAGTCCGAAATGATCCATGTTATTTAGAAAAAATCCAGATAAATTTGGCTGAATGATTTCTATTATGTGGTTGTTTATGTAATTGTTATTTTTTTAATAAATGATAAACACTAAATAATGAACTAATTTTTAAAAAATAAAAATATAAAAAACTCAAAATATAAATTAAAAATTCAGATACCGAAAGGAGATTTGATCCTTTTAACCTTTTTATAATTTAGTTTGAACAGTTTATTTTTGACCGAATCACAGAGTTAGAGTTATTCTTAAGGCGTACGTGCAAATTAAATTCAACAATACCATACATTGAAACAAAGCAAAAAATGTAATGGAAGATCATGCGATTGCTTGTTTGAATGTTTCCATCCTAAGAGACAATATCCACATCTAAGTTGATTATAAAGTATGTATGTCTCAATTACAATCTTAATGATATGATTACTTAATTAAGCTAAGCTAATCACACCAAAGAAGAGAGGAAACAAGTCAATTACTATCAACTTACCATAAGTAATCAACCCATTAAGATTCTATTAAGATATTCATTTGTTTTTGCAATCTGCTTAAGATACGGGAGAGATGTCTTTGAGATTGAAACAACATACTAATTTTGTCTGATTATCCGCATCCATGGAAGTTTCAGACAATTTTACTTTCTTTTTTAAAGGAAGTGGGGGACATTGATTGACATAATTAGCATGCCTAATCATGTTTTTTTTTTCCCATTATATCATGATCGAAGATGAGAAATGATAAATAACATGAAAAAATAATACGAAAAAAAAACTTTACGGGATTAATTGACTAATCTATTTTTATATATTGGGTTTTATTCTTCCATATCTCATTCTACAAATTTTTTACTCTGATATATCTTTATATATTTATAAGAGAATTTTTTACTCTTATACATCTTTGTTTATTCATATTTTCTCACATATGTTCTTTTATTACTTTTTGGACAAAATATATCTTATAATCATAAAAGAAAAATTAATTTTTAATTTAAAAAAATAAATTAAAATTTTACTTTAAAATATTTTTAAAAATATGAAAATACTTATAAAGCCCCACGAAATATTAGAAAAAATGGGAAAATTGAAAAAAAAATTGTAAAATGTAAAAAAGAAAAAAAGAAAAAGAAAATCCTTTGAACCTCATTAATTGAAAGATGCCTATGGCCATAAAATAAGAGGTTTCATTTTTCTTTTTTATTAATTACCAGTGTTATATATATATATATATATATATATATATATATATATATATATATATATATATATATATATATATATATATGTATTGTGTGTGTACATGTGGTGGGGTGTTATGGGTTATTTCAATTTCCTTTATATGTTTCAAGTCTTTAAGTTTCTAGATTTTTTAATGTATCTAGTTTTTGTATATTTTTGTCTATTTTCTAGCTTTTTCAAGCTTCGTTAAGGTTTCAAATTTAAAATTTTTTTTTTTTATGTTTTGAAAATTGATTTTTTTTTTATTGTTTTCTAAAGGGCATTTCTATCTTAAAAGTAGCAAAAAAGTATACAAGAGATAATAACAATATATAAAGATGCATGAGAGTTAAAATTTTTCAAAAATATATATGAGATGATAAGTTCAATATATAAGGATGGATGAATATATTAATTTAATTATGAACCACTGAATCGCTAATCCTAATGTAGAATCCAATGATGAATCCCATTTATATAATGATTCTGATGTGTTCTTGAAGTTTTTTTCCTTAATGTTTAACATCATTACTCTATTAATTAAAACAGATCCATTGACTTAATTGAATTAATTAGCTCAGGATTGCTTGGTATTATTTTCATTTTTTGCTTCTTGTTTCCAAATTTATCAACTAAATTCAAAAATTCGTTTGTATCCACCTTTTATTTTTTTTTAAAAAAAAAAATCCATGTGAAAGTTTTGAAAATTACTATAAAAAAAAGATCTGGGATAATAACTATTTATTTACTGTAGCATTTTATTTTTTAACTCTAAGTTGAAAGATCTGGGACAGTAACTATTTATTTACTGTAGCAATTTTTTTTTTCCCTCTGGGTTGAAAAATCTGAGATAGCAACTACTCATTTACTGTAGATTTTATTTTATTTATTTATTTTTTTTTTGGGCTCTGGTTTGAAAGATCTGAGATAGTAACTATTTATTTATTGTAGCAATTTTTTTTTTTTTTTTTTTTTGCTCTGGGTTGAATGGCCTTGGCTGCCTGACGCTTGAGCCTGTCCTGCCAGCTGGCGCCTGGCCCTCCGTTTTTTTTTTTCAGTATCCCTTCAAGGAGCATGCATAAGGCCTGCAGACTGATCCGTGCTTTCAACGAATGAGAATGATTTCTCTACTTTTTTTCTGCAGCCACTTTTATTATTTCAACATGATGACTTGGACTTTTTTTTTTAAATAGAATATAAAGAAAACGTTTTTCAATATATATATTATTACTTTAATTAATTAAAAACTAAAACGCGTGATGGTTTTACCGTTTGAATGAATAGTGAAACCATAACGTTGTTGTACTATTCATTTGAATAATGTAATTTTTTTCTTTTTTCTTTTTCTGTTTTTACTTTTGTTTTATTCTCAATGATACTACTCAATCTTAGTTTTCTTTTCTCCCTTTTTTTTTTTATTTTCACTCTTACTTATTTTCTTATTTTTTTAAAAAAAATTAAATTATTTTGTCTTTTTTTTTATTTCACCCTTAGTTTTTTTCCTTAGGTATATTTTTAAATTTTCAAATTATTCTATTTTGATCCCTAAAATTTTAAAATAAAAATTTTAATCCTTAGCTGATGCATTATATGTTTTTTTTTTGTTTTGGTTTTTTTTTCTAATCAATTTATGTTTTTTTTATTTGATTGAGTGTTACAATTTTTAAAAATCGATCGTTATTTTTTTCGCACGAGGCTAATGATTTGCTTTACCTTCATACTTTACTACTCAATCTTAGTTTTTTTTTAAAAAAAAAATTTCACTATTACTTATTTTCTTATTTTTAAAATTTTTTTTTACCGTTATTGTTTAAATTTTTTTCTTCAATTATTTGTTTCTTATTAAAATTATAATCAAATTAATATTTTGATATAATTTTATTTGTTAATAAATTTAGGTTTTTAATATATGAATTTTAGAATAAACGTTTAGAACGTCGATTTTTTAAAACATATTATTATGATATATATATATATATATCAAGCAATTTTGCTCAATATATAAATTCGATTTATATTAATCATAAAAAATTAAAATTTTTACTCACAATATACTATATGAATTATTAACGCTGCGTATATAACGAGTGTTCGATTGCAGCGTAGGACGGATGCCCCTCTAGTAAAAAACTAGTTTTCTAAACTGATTTTAACACTATTCACCTATATTTTGAGAATTGAAGTGATCGAACGTTCGAGATTTCATCAAATAGGTATAGATCTCATCGTAACCGAATATAGATGTAAAGGGTTGGGTCGCAAGAGCCTGGGTGGTCAGGTTGGTTGGGTGGATGGAGTCCGATCAGGGTTATAACCATTGGGTCCGTTATTAAATGAATTCTATTGCATTTAGGTCCTCATTCTTTGTTTTCTTCCAAATGATACCATTGCATTGTCTTTAAGATAACACTCGGATGGCAAAATTAATCTTGTAGAATTGTTGGTCACACTAATTTCTCTTCAACCGATATTTATTTTGATTTGTTAAAGAAAAACTAAATGTTTAATCCGTAGTGCAAGCCTTGAATAGAAGATATCTTTTACAAAAATTGATGCATAAAAGCGAGTTAAACTATAAAATTTTTCATTTTCAACTTAAATTGATTTTACTATTTTTGGATTAGTGCGTTTATATCAGTAAGCAATTTTTTTAATTGAGACTCAAAAAGAAGGAAACATCATTTACTAACAAAAAGAAAAAACAAATGTTTTTGGAACCCAAATTTCGGTAACTTTATTTATTAAAATTATGCATTCATTGTTTAGGTAATTTTTTGTTTATGCTTCGCAATCGTTGTTTTTATCATTAATTATTTAACACACGTAATTTAAATTTAGAGAAAAAAGATATTTAGAATTTTATTCTTATAATTGAGGAGGAAGATGCTTTTCTATTTGGATAATGGTAGAGATACTCAAAAGTCCTTCTCTCTTAAAAATTGTAACCATCCTTTTTTCAAATAAAAAAGTGACTAATGGTCCGGGCTTGTCAGCGCTCTATGCTGGGCTTGATGCTGATAATGCTTCGGCCTGGACCGTAAACATTTTAGGGCCAGGTGCTGTCCATTTCTTGTAAAACTTGAATAATACCTGCTACTTCCAAAAAAAAAAAAAACCACTTAACCTAGAATGAAGAAGTTTAAATGTCAAAATCAGAGCAAAGCCATTTTTTTAGTAACCGTTTTCAACAAGAGGACAAATCACATCGATGTGTTACATGCATTGTGGTGAATTTGCTTGTAGTAAAGCCTTTGCTATTATAGTATCCAGTGATGCCAAACATCGATGTAAAAAAAAATTAGACAAAAAATTTTAAGAATACACATAAACTATTAGATCATTAGATTAATGAAACCAATAATTGAATGTCATATAAGATCACAATTTAATGATTTACAGTCCTTTTGAAGTTTTTTCGTGTTATTTATCATTTATCTTTGGTACTTTTGTTAAAATTTAATATTAGATCATATAAAATGTAAGTTTTTCTTGATCATAAGAGTTCAACTTTTACATCAAGTTGGAACAAGTAAAATTCTTATGATTTTTATAATGCTAAAATAGCCAAATCTCGTTTGAACCTTAATTCATTTGAAAATCAGTATCTGAATTTTTAAATTTATATTTTGATCTTCTTGAACTTTAGGTTCTTTTTATATTTAATTTGTAACACCTCTAACTTAGGACCTAATAGGTTGAGATTATTATTGTCATTAACCCACATTCGAAGTGCAATAAATATAAATTAACAAGACATTGTGACCTATCTATAAGTTATCTAGGTGCAATTACGCTACGTAAGTTTATTAATAATGAATTGGTCCTATGTCTAGTGTAAAATGCACTATAAATTTTTTACATTTTATTTTCTTATTTATTTCTTTTGGACTGAATAATTAAATCTGGGACTCTTGGTTTCCTTCAATTCCCTTCCGATTTAATCACGTACACTTAATTAATTATATTCTCAACAATAGTTTTTTTTTTACTTCATTTAGACTTCCAAATTAACTATTTAGTGTAAAATTTACACTAATTCCTATAAAAACTATTCCTTATACTTGATAAAATTAATTTAAATTTATTGAGTTCTCTTACACATCCTATATGATTTTTCTATGCCCTAAAAACATTCCTCATTCCGTTAAAGTACCTAATTTAATTATTCTACCTTTAAAACATTATTCCTATCCATAGCAATTCGAATAAAATATTCATAACATACAAAAAAATTCATAGAATCACATAAAATAGTTCAACACCCCTCTAAAAAATATTCTAAATAATCAAAACATTTTTCATGCACATACAACATGTTTTAAATAATTAATTTATACAAAAACTATTATTTATACACCGTACAATCGGTAAAATATTCTTTAAGCATGAAAAAACTATTTCAACTATTTTAAATATTCTTTTAAGTCCAAAATAATTATTTCTTATCCTAAAAAACATTTTCCATAGGTGTTCAATATTTAATTTTTAATTAAATTCTAGTTTTAACAGGTATCGATCCGTTACATAATTCATCATGTGATTTTTAGCTATCACCCATTTTCTCTAAAAAAATTAAATTTATGGTATTTTGATATGAAATTTTGCACGCATGTTGGAAGACATAATTCTATAAATTTTCATGGTTTGAAATTATATTTATTTTTTTAAAAAGAAAATAAATCCGGAATGATTCTAATTTTTTTTTTGAAAAACTCCGGATAAATCTCGTTGAATGATTTCTCTTATGTTATTCAAAAACTGATTTTTAAATAGAATCAAGTTCAAATGAGGTTTGAAATTTTAATCTTCTTATAATTTTGATTTGGATAATTTATATTTGATTGAATCAAAAAGTTAGAGTTAGTCGTTGCGCATGCAAATTAAGTTCAACGATACAACATATTGAAAAAAATATATATATATAATGGAAGACAGTGTGATTGCTTGTTTGAATTAATGTCTCCATCCTAAGAGACGATATCCACGTCTAAGTTGATTATAAAGTATGTATGTCTCCATTGATTACAATCTTAATGATGTGATTACTTAATTAAGATAAGCTAATCACACCAAGGAAGAGAGGAAACAAGTCAATCATTATCAACTTACCATAACTAATCAACCCATTAAGATTCTATTAAGATATTCATTTGTTTTTGCAATCTGCTTTAGATACGGGAAAGATGTCTTTGAGATGGAAACAACGAACTAATTTTGTCTTGTTACCCGCATCCATGGAAGTTTCAGACAATTTTACATTCTTTTTTTAAAGGAAGTGGAGGACATTGATTGATATAATTAGCATGCCTAATCATGTTTTTTCCCATTGTATTATACATGATCTAAGATGACAAATGATAAATAACATGAAAAAATAACAAGAAATAAAACTTTAGGAGATTAATTGATTCATCTATTTTTATATATTGGGTTTTATTCTTCCATATGTTTTTTTTTTAATTCTTCAATATCTCATTCTACGATTTTTTTTTTTTTTTACTTTTGTATTTCTTTATATATTCATAAGAGAATTTTTCACTCTTATATATCTTTATTTATTCATATTTTCTCACAAGTGTTCTTTTATTACTTTTCTAGAATCATAAAAGAAATTAATTTCTATTTTTTAAAAAAATTAAAAATTTACTTTAAAATAATTTTAAAAATATGAAAATGCCTATAAAAACCACAAAATATTAGAAAAAATGAGAAAATTGAAAAAAAAAACTTGTAAAATGTAAAGAAGAGAAAATATCCATGGAACCTCATTAATTGAAAGATGTCCATCCCCATGAAATAAGGTTGTTAGACTTGAGGTTTCAATTTTTTATTTATTTATTAATTACCACTGATATATATGTGTGTGGGGGTGTTATGGGTTATTTCAATTTTCTTTATATGTTTCGAGTTTTTAAGTTTCTAGATTTTATAATGTATCTAGTTTTTGTAAATTTTTGTCTATTTTCTATGTTTTTCAAGTTTCGTTATGGTTTCAAATCTTAATTTATTTTTTTATGTTTTGAAAATTGATTTTTTAATTGTTTTCTGAAGGACATTTTTATCTTAAAAGGAGCAAAAAAGTATATGAGAGATAATATCAATATATAAAGATGTATGAGAGTTAAAAATTCTTAAAAATATACCTGAGATGATATATTCAATGTATAAGAATAGATGAATATATTAATTCAATTATGAACCATTGAATTGCTAATCCTAATGCAGAATCCAATGATGAATCCCATTTATATAAGGATTCTGATGTGTTCCTGAGGTTTTTTTCCCTTAATGTTTAACATCAGTACTCTAATAAAATATATCCATCGACTTAATTGAATTAATTAGCTCAGGATTGCTTGGTATTATTTTCATTCTTCGCTTCTTGTTTCCAAATTTATTAACTAGATACAAAAATTCGTTTGTATCCATATTTTCTTTTCAAAAAAAAAAACTAGTTTTCCAAACTGATTTTAACATTATTCACCTATATTTTGGGAATCGAAGTGATCGTTGAAGATGTCGGAAAATAGTTATCGATCACGACCGGCACCGAATATAGATGTAAAGGGTTGGGTCGCAAGAACCTAGGTGGTCAGGTTGGTTGGGTGCATGGAGTCCGGTCAGGGTTGTAACCATGGGGTCGGACAGGGATTTTACTGTCATCTCCATCCAATACAATCAATGGCGTAACATGCTTTGTCCTCGAACTACTCAACTTCCACTGTTCATGGCTGCTGCAATTTGTCCCCACAAGGACCCAGTCTTCATTGCATCCTGAGAAGTTCAATATTGAAGATCCATGACTATATATATGTACGTACGCTGTTCGTTGTTTGAACAAGTCTGTAAGATGACAATGGCACAATCACAAGATCCGCCAAATCTAGACATGATTCAATACTAATGCATGAACGGAAGATTCAGGATCACATAGCAAAAAATTCCACAAGGACGAGATCTTGATTCTTTTGACAAAGTGAAAAGATATCCTCGCAGTACGTCCAATTGTTGAAGTCGTTTTAAAGATTTAAATCAATTCCTTAATTAGTTGAACAAAAGAAAAGAAAAAAGCATCAACGTCTGCATTTACTTACAATTACCACTTGCAACATTATGTTTTCTTGCTATCCCACCCGTAGACATCGTGAAGACTAAGTTTTCCAACATGAGAGTTGAGACTGCCAATTTACGTGTTGATTAATGAACGAGTTTACCTACATTTGAATTCTAGATTTTTCATTTTTTTTTTAATTAAGATTTTTTTTTTAATTTGATTGAAATCACCAGTTTTTTGAATTTTTTTACTTCAAACCCTTCGTTATATCATAAATTAGTGATTGATATACTATCTCTTTATAATATCACGTTTAATAATTAATGAATGACATTATACCAGAAGATCTAAAAAGAAAAATTCAAAAAGTAAAGAGTTTCGATAAAAATAAATAAATAAAGAATTTTAATTCAAAAATCAAAGAGTACAAGATCTAAATATAAAAAAAAATCTACAAATAAATTTTTTAATTGCCATAATGAAGAAAATCAATCTTACTTATCACACATTTTTTTTTCTTTTTTAGTTATATTAAAGAGATTAAAACTCGAGATCTTTTGAAAGAAAAAAGAAATATTAATATTAGTTGAGTTATAATTAACTCATTACTACATTATTGTTGCTCACTAAAGAAAATTAAAAGATTTTCAACTATATTGATGGTTAGTAATGTGCATTCTTAAAACATTTTGTTAATTTTTTAAAGACAAATAGGTTTAATTACTTTTCACGTTATAATTATTTAGGATTTAAATATTAGAAAAAACCATAAAATATACATATATGTTTTTAATAAATACATCAATCTAGACAAGGATGGTATAAAATTCAATGGGTCTAGCATTAGAAAGAAATTAAAAAAAAAAAATGAGGGATCTCAGTGACGTTCTATTGTTTAAAAATAGATTTGATATAAAGCCAAAAAACCTGCTAATTAATCAATTGTAGATTAACTGGCATTGGTATCCTCTTTTTTCCGAAATATCAATCTGACGGTAAGATGCTATATGCATAGATGAACCTAATCAATGTTTCATGGACATTAACAAGAACGTTTATTCGCGGACGTTAACATTATCTAAAAAAAATTTAATCTCGATTAATATTTATATAAAATGAACAAAACATATTTTGAGCATCTAATAAAAAAACAAAAAAAAAAAAACAAAAAGACAAACAACAAAAGTGGAAGATAGCCGATATTTTATACAATGTTAATTATTGTGAATATATGGACCACATTTGTGTTGTCAATTTCAACTTAAGATAGTCCCAAAGTGATACGCAAGATTTGATAACTTTTTCTTAGAAATTTAGATTAAACTCTGGAAAGGGTGGAGTGAGAATTTTGAATTGAGGAAAAATTTGTCTTATTACGGAACCCAAAATCCACGAAGTTTCTTGTTTATAACCAAACGAATATATATATATATATATATATATATATATATATATATACACTATACATGGAAATTAAATGGTCATTTTTCTTTCATAAAATGAGATGACTTTGAAAAATAACGTATAGACTCCAAATAGATGGCAAAATGTCAAAGGCTACTAAGTCTGCAGAAACTCAACAATTGAAAATATAATGATGACAAAAATTTAAATTAATTTTTTGCTTTTTGGATGAATCGTATAAGACAAACATAATTATTTAAAAAATTTTCTATATATATAAGAATTTGATTATAAAATTGCTTATTTAAACGAATAGAACATCTTTCTTTCAAACGAAATTTCTTGGATATGGTTTAATTTCTTTAAGAGAATCATCTAGGTAATTTGTCCATTTGTCTCCCAAAAAAAAAAAAAAAAAAAGCAAGATGTCCTTTCCATTTGGGAACATAAAATATTTTGACTGTAAAATAATTAATTTTTTAAAGATAGTTGATCGAATAATTACAAGGTATATACTTACCTAGCGATATATTAATGACTAAGAGCAGTACTATATAATACCATATCAAAGATTATTTTAAGAGTTTTCTATATATATAAGAACTTAAATATGAAAATATTTATCTAAAAGAATAGAGCATCTTTCTTTCAAATGAAATTTTTTGGATATGGTTTAATTTTTTTAAGAGAATCATCTAAGTAATTTGTCCAATTGTTTCCAAAAAAAAAAAACAAGATGTCCTTTCCATTTGGGAACATAAAATATTTTGATTGTAAAATAATTAATTTTTTAAAGATAGTTTGATCAGAATAATTACAAGGTATATACTTACCTAGCGATATATTAATGACTAAGAGCAATACTATATAATACCATATCAAAGATTATTTTAAGAGTTTTCTGTATATATAAGAACTTAAATATGAAAATATTTATCTAAAAGAATAGAGCATCTTTCTTTCAAATGAAATTTTTTGGATATGGTTTAATTTTTTTAAGAGAATCATCTAAGTAATTTGTCCAATTGTTTCCAAAACAAAAAACAAGATGTCCTTCCCATTTGGGAACATAAAATATTTTGATTGTAAAATAATTAATTTTTTAAAGATAGTTTGATCAGAATAATTACAAGGTATATACTTACCTAGCGATGTATTAATGACTAAGAGCAGTACTATATAATACCATATCAAAGATTATTTAAAGAATTTTCTATATATATAAGAACTTAAATATAAAAATATTTATTTAAAAGAAAAGAGCATCTTTCTTTCGAATGAAATTTTTTTGGATATGGTTTAATTTTTTTAAGAGAATCATCTAAGTAATTTGTCCATTTGTTTCCAAAAAAAAACAAGATGTCCTTTCCATTTGGGAACATAAAATATTTTGATTGTAAAATAATTAATTTTTTAAAGATAGTTTGACCAGAATAATTACAAGGTATATAGTTAGCTAGCGATGTATTAATGACTAAGAGCAGTACTATATAATACCATATCAAAGACTAATTAACCACCATATCTAAGAATCAATCAATTGATTTGAAATATCCACTTTTTATCTGTTTGCAGACCCAAATAATCAATTGATTTGAAATATATAAACCTTAAATCCCCCAAAAAAAAAAATAATAATGAATGGGGACGACCGTTCTAAACTTTATTTTGACCATACTAGGTTTTGTTTTGTTTTTGTTTTTTTTTTAAGACCCAAAGTCCTGTATATATCACATCAAAATCCTTGGTAATTTAAATTACATATGGGCTAACGGGATTCTCATCATAATAGGGTGTTTTTTTTTTCATCAAACAAACATAAAACTCAATAAAATTATTAAATTAAGTTATGAGTCAACTATAATCTAGGCTGCTTAATTGTGAGTATGGTTCTCTTTTTCCTGTATTATTCTAATGTCAAGAAGTTGACATGATAGTTGAAAAGGTATATTTCTTTTTTAATTTCCTGAATTCATATTTATCGGCTAACATATATGAAAATTTATTATTATTTTTTTATAAAATACGTAAGGCAAGCGTTAAAAAACAAGTCTTTAAAATTATTTAAAAAAAAATTAGTGTTAATTGATATGATAATTAATTTTTAAAAAACCCATCACTAAAGACTCTCGAGATAGAGGTTGGGCATCGGAAAAGATTCATATTAAGGGACACTCCATCTCTAGAAAGATTGTAAAAGATGAAGAAAAATCGCCTCCAAAAGTATATATGTGCATGTTTTCTTGTTGGGCATAACAATTTTTGTCTATTCAACAAGGCATCAAAACAAAGTACAAACGATTCGTATCTTGGCGAATAAGCATAGTAGTAAATGAATTAAGAAGACACCAAGCTGATGGTCCCATGTACGTTTAATTTGGCCCTAGGATATCTAGTGGAGATCATGTTACGAACTCAATCAACCAATCAAGCCCATCACTTTTCAACAAATGAATCTTTGCAAATATTTGCCTCTCTGGATGCATTGATCTTTCAATTTCAAAGAGTGACAAGTTTGATTAGGAAAATAAAAGACCAAGTTGATAATAACAACAAATTATTGGTTTAACAATAAATGATTTGGTTTTTAGATGATTTATTTTCAAGTTTAAATTATAAAATTACATTGATTAGAAAGAATTAAATTTTATCTTATCGTCTCTGTTTTGAACATAATTCATCATATTTTTATCATTTTTATTGTGATTGTTTCCTAATATCAATTCTCATTATCTATTTATTTGAATTTTGATTCTCATCTTGTCTTATACTTTACATTATAAATGTTCCTTCTTTTTTTATTTTCACATTCTCTTTTATTTTCATAATCATTGATTTTATTCTAGTTTCATTGATCATTAGGGTTCTTCGCCAATTCTTCATAAAAAGGACCAAGTTGATAATTAGGGCAAGTCTACCCTAGCCAATAATTACATTGCGCAAGCTATAGCAAAAGGGCTTATGCAAGCATGACCTTCACAGTTTTCTTGGTTTCTTACTTTGAGAAATTAACACTAAGTCACACGTGAGTGTACAAACAAGGGTAATCACAATTTGAAGACATTATGGTCTAATATTGCGGCTTTAAAGTTTTTAGGAAAACCTCTCCGATTTAGCTGTTGCGTTTGTATCGATTCGGTAAATAATCGGCTTTTGAAAAAAAAAATTGTCAAATTTATTCTCAGTTTATGACAATTCGTAAATTCAATTCAGTTAAACTAATTTATTCTCAGTTTATGACAATTCGTAAATTCAATTCAGTTAAACTAAGTTATAAACAAACAATGACGAATATACCATATGAGAATAGATAATCGTTTATAATTCAGTTTAATTTTATTGAATTGATAAAATGGAACGAATATAGAGGTAAATTTGACGAAATTTTATATAGAGGCTTATTTGCCAATTGTTGCCCCAAATTAAAGGCTAAATTTGGAGATATTTCCAAGTTATTTTTGGGTTTATTGGGTGTAGAAATATTCCAAGAAATAAGAATTGTTTATTTATGCTAGCTTCAATGTGAGATAAGAGCTGTCACAAAGCTATATCTAATTAAATTCTAACATCCTCGCCCCCAATAATTTGTTTTTTTTTTTAATGAACAAGATATTTTAATAAAATTAATGTTGATCTCATTCATTAAAAAAAAAAAAAATCAAAATACTCTCGAATGATTTGAAGAGGAAAAAAAAATAAAAATTATGAATAAGTTCTCCCTTCATCTACTATAGCTGCCTTTTAGTTCTTCTCCTCTATATAAGGAAGCAACATTAGTGGCCATCTTTCACAGAATTAGCTCTCTAAAACGAAAAGGAAATTATTTCATTATATTCTTGAAGATGGTGCCACATGGGTTCAGGTTCAATCCCACTGATGGAGAGATCATCCAAATCCTAGACAGAAAAGCTTCTGGCCAAGAAATGCCACTCCATTTCATTCTTGAAACAAATGTTTATAAGCTTGAACCACAGGATCTTGAATGTATGTAGGATGCACTACTTGCTAATTCGTTTGTTCTAATATTGCATGTAGCTAGGGCTCACAATTTTCTTTCTTTTTCTCTGTAATCATGACAAAGAGGCATGGAATTTTCAAGTTTTTAGCAAATATGATATGGGTTTAACCTTTGACATACAATAGGGCACAATTTTTTGTCTAGGGTTCAACTTAATTAATTTAGATTATGATATTCCATTATTTTGTCATGGGAACTTTCTTCTTACCTCAAAGCTTCATAACAATATGGTTCCATGCAGGGAACCAAACCACAGCTCTAAGCAATGGCGAGAAATACTACTATTGTAAGAGGGTAATAAATGATTCAAGGGAAGTACATGGTCGAGGATGGTGGAAAGCTACAAGTCATGTCAAGAAAGTGTATGCTAATGATCATCAACTAATTGTTGGGAACAAGAGGCCTTTAACATTCCATCGGTTCAAGGATGATAAAAGAAACCGCAATAATGCCATCAAGACCAATTGGATCATGCATGAATATAGCCTTGAATCAAGAACTACGGTACTAGCTAGTTAACATTTTGTGTGAGTACAATTCTATATTTGCATCTTCTTGTGTTTGTTTCATTACTTCGTCCTTTCATTTTGTTAGGAGTGGAGGCTTTGCAGGATTAAATATAAGGGAAAACCAAGTGTGCAAGAAGAGATAGAGAGTATTAAGAAACTATATTCATCGAGAAATGAATTCGAAGCCGGTAGTTCGACCAATTTTGTTGGCGGGCAAGAGCAACAGCAGGAGGAACAAACTTTTCTGCCTGCAAATTCAACAGTGCCAATGGGGTATAATGGGTATGATCAGCAACCTCATGATCAATGGAACAATATGCAGCAGCTACCACCATCTCCATATCCTCCTTGTCTACCGGCAATGAGTACTAGTATCGGTGACTATTGTGTTGACGTGCAAGAGGACTTAGGGATCACTGATGAGCAGCCATTTCCTAGTCTTTGGTCTTGGACGAACTAGCTAGGTTTTTGCTGTCTCTCTTACCGGTTGCTTCTGAAGTCAGGCTGCTATATGTGTACAAAATTTTTTTTATCCTGTTTTTGGTCTAGGCAAAGATGTCTTGTTGCCTTTGTGTTTCTCTAGTACTAATGTATTACTCTGTAATAAAGAAATATGGTTTGTGCTTAATTGGAATGATGATTTTTCAGTAGTTGTTGATCCTTTTACTTTTGGTCCTCTCATTCACTTATATCCACGAGTCCAAGGCCTTTGACAAATTGATACATGTAACTTCTTTTTTCTGAGCTAAAAAATCATATTCCAAGAGCTTACCCTCGATACATACTATAATACATTGATGTTACATTTTTGGTAAGATAGGGATTGTTTATGATTAAGGGGTTAGTTTAGTGGTTTAGGAGGTTTATTTTCTTTTTTTGATATTTTGAGGCCACCACTCATAAGAATTTTTTTTTTTTTAATGCGTCGGATCGATATAAAAAATGCATTCTTAAAATTATTTGAAAGAAAACTTAGTCTCGATTGATAGATAAACTGACTTGAATATATTTTTACCATAGAGAGAGAGAGAGAGAGGAACATTATCTTCCAAAAAAAATTTATTCGCAGAGGAAAATAAATAGGTTACCAAGATGCATGTAACTTAATTTTTATTCCACAAATAAAGATATCATCATACCAACTTAATTATACAACAATTGAGATTCATTTTTTTTTTCCGAATAATCTCAAAAGCTCATCTACTTTATCAATCATGTGCATTCAAAGAAACTTTATTTCTTCATATTCTAGTCTCCAGATTCAAACTAAAAAAATAATAAAAAATGAAAGGGCTAAAACCTACACTTACTTTTTTTTTTGAATTCTCAAGGTATCCTACACTTAAAGATCCAAATTAATCTCTTATTGTTTAGTTGGATATGTAAATGAATGTAACTACCTTAAGTGTTTTTTATATACATAAAAATTCGAATCCAAGACCACTTGTTTAAATGAATAGCTAGGGCTTTTTTCACTCAAACCAACTCTTTTGGATAACTACACTTGCTTAGAGTCTTGATCTCACATCCTCCACTAACATGCTAGATTTAGACCTAATTCGATTGTTAGGTCAAAATACATGCATATACGTAACAAAATATATAATAAAAAATTATATAAAAAAACCATGATAAAATGAACCAATTTAAATTTGAAATGTTATTAAAAATTGACAAGACTAGAGAAATATGCTTATTGATTACAAAGTAGGTAGGACAAAACCTTACATTACATGTTGGAATGGAAACGCAGCTTTGAATTTCACAGTAGAAAAAATATTATGAAAAATCCTTCCGTTCATACTAATTTAGCTCTAAGAGTCAAGGCGTTTAGATTTTGAATGTGGAAAAGGCAAAGAAGTTCAAGCTCGCATGCATAATCACTGACGGTGATGGACAATGAATACCTTAATTAGAAGATTGTAAAAAGGGGAGTCAATGTGTCGTAAGATCATTATTGCAAAAAGTGGAATCAATGCATCATATGATCAACTTTAAAGGCTGAGCAACAATTTATTAACCTAGTGTTAAGCAAATCTTTAAGATAATTTTTTATTAATGTATATGATTTAAATCTCGAAATCTTATTTATTAAAAAAAATTATATTTAATTATTTTTTTAATCACTTCATTTTTAAATATAATTAGTTATATCTGCAACGTGAAATGAAGGAAAAAAGAAAAAAGTTACTGGCTAGTATCCAATTAATCCTACCAAATAATTAATTTCCCTATCTTTGACTACTACCTCGTGTTTCATGACAAGTCTACCACTCCGTAGCCTGCCTAATTCTTGTGCTTTAAGCAACAGTTGATATTTTATTTAAAGTAAATAATGATTGGATAATTGATCCTTGTGTTTTTAATAAAATAAATAAATAATTAATTTTATTTTTAAAAATTAAGTGATGTTAAGTTCCTATATATATTTTCATATTTATCGGTAACTCAGTCTTTCTATTGTATTTCTCTTGATAATTTATTTTTTTTCCTTAAAATGTCCTTCATTTCTAATTAAAATTTCCAATCTTGTCAACAACAGACAAAAAAAAAAAAACAAAATTAAAAAGATTAATTTAGACATTTCAAAAAGAAGCAGCATTCAACTTTAATCAAGAAACTAACTTATGATTTTTAAAGCAGAAGAACTTACTTATAGAATTATAAAAAACACAATGATTAATCCATAGCTTACTATTTATCGGTTTTCTCCCCATATCCCCATGATAATTTACCGTATAGCTTTACTAAAACTTTCATTAATTATAATTTTAGTTTTAGTATTTTTAATAAATCATAAGCTAAGTCTCTCTAGTTTCTAAATCATAAGATAATCCATTGATCATGTTTGACCACAAAATCATTAAAATATTTATTTTTAATACTTGTCTAAATTTAAATATGGATTAAATATGGGATACCGACCATTCATAATTGATATGTGCACAGTAATAAACATTGGATTTGAACATTAAATGTGAATGTTAGATTTTAATCCAACATAATCGTGTCTTGTATGTCCCACAAAACAAAGAAAATTTACACTTAAGACATATTATGGACATAATTGATTTTCTTGATATTTTGGATTCAAATGTTGAAAGCAACATTAGATTCTGTGGACATATTGTGGACATAATGTCCCATAAAACAAAGAAAATTTACACTTAAGACATATTGTGGACATAATTGATTTTCTTGATTTTTGGATTCAAATGTTAAAAGCAACATTAGATTTTTCTAAATGTATTATATTTTTTAGAATCACTTAAAAAAAATAGATTTGATTGACGTACAAACTGATTTAATTAAAAATACCTCCTATTATCTAATAAAAAAACTTACCTAAATTATTTGCAAATTACAATATCCTTTCCTTTTTAATTTATTGAAGACAATATCATTTCTTGTCTTGATTATCTATGTTGGGAAGAACTTGATTTTGATAGTAAATATAAAGTTAGATAGTTGAGATTGGATTCTACCCAAAAGACTTAAGCCTTGTAATGTGTGACCCCTTCTCAATTTTATATATTATTTATTATTGGTTTAACTATTCAATGTGGGATACATTCTAACACTCCCCCTCACTTACTGACCCATCTTTTGGGATATGTCGAGTGGCTTGGGCTCCGGGATCTTTACCGAGCCGTTGGGCTTCTTTGAGGCTCGATGCCATATTAAAGGACAATCTCACCTAAAAGCTTCAGCTTATAAGTGAGGCCACTAGACCGAGTATAATTTCCCTAGCACACCCTCTCAAGTGAAAATCTCAACATTTGAGCTTGAAACTTGCACGAGTCCACATTGCTTTGTGCTTAATACTTGAGAAATTGGGGATGGTGAGACTTGATGTAACACCCCCAACCTAGGACTTAAAACGTTAAGAATATTACCGTCGTTAACCTACAATCAAAGTGCAATGAATGCAAGCTAACAAGGCACTATGACTTAATGTCTAGAGTGAAATTTATGTTTTTGAAATTTAATATTGGTCGGTAGGTCTTATACTTTAACTTAAAAAACGTTATAAATTTTTCACATTTGATCTATTCACTCGGATACTTGAAACTCGGATTCGAGGTTATTTGTTAGTTCAAATCCTTTCTTTACTAACTATTGTAATTCATTGAGATGTAATTTTTTATTATCAGTTATTATTATATTACTTATTCTCTTTCATATTTACTATTCTTTTTATTTAACGAGTTAATTAAGAAATTCTCTTAAATATTCAAGGATGTTAGCATGCGGTGGACAATTTAAAGTAACTACACTACTATCGGTATCTTGTCATTTTATTATTAGTATTTCGGTTCATACAGAGTTACTAATTTATATACAAAACTACTTATATACCAACTATTAAAAATTTTAACTTATTTACTAGCTACATTATTTTAAAGTACTACACTTACTTGTTCATTGCTTCTAATATAACATAACATAGTCCGACTAATTCCGAACATGCAAGTCAATAGCTAGTACTATAAATAAAATCGTATGTAGTATGTCCACTCGGATCCCGAAGCCCCATCCAAGGTATAAGCTATGCAGTGCATTCCTAAAAAATCAGCTCCGTAGAGAAATAAGCTATAGTATCTTATTTACTTACACCACAAGGAACTTTATGAGCTACATCCCGGTAAGTTAACGTACACATGTAGTGTGCATACATGTATAAAATACCGATATATATACATGATAAATCCTTTTTCTCATGTCATAAAACATCTCATAAACAGTTTGAAAATCCTTTTTCTATCTTTAGACATATCCTATTTAGGTATTTCGGGGTTTCCATAACATATTTTTGGCAAACCGGACTCGTCCGTGGACATGCCCTACTGAGCATCTAAAAGTGCACGTCCGCACTTACCCGACCCCGAACCAATACCATTACCATATGGAAAACCCATGAAGCCCATCCTTATAAAAATTCTCAAGGTCATGAAAATCCTTTTCTTTAAAATAATTCCAATCGTTATCGAAAACTCATAGTATCAAATACGTTTCCATGACCTAAAACATTATTCATGAGCTTTGGCATGCATATGCATTTCGAATGGCAATGCATGCTCACAATGATACCCAAGTGCATATCCTAAATGGTCGTGTAACCATGTTATGAAAACATGTATAAAATTGGATAGTATAATGGCATAGATAACATCAACCCATATCAAGCAATGCAACCAACGTTGGCGTATCGGTTACCATAACCACAATTCTCATCACCAATCACAACTTAAGCATAACCATCATTCATTATTCATTGCATTCCATACATTCTTTGGAAGAAAATACAATCATAGCATAAGAGTAAGTAAATAATTACATTTCATTTTAGTTTCATTAACTTACTCTACATTTTAACATTTCCAAATTATTTTCCTCGGGTTGCCAACTACCATTTTGTATCTAATCTTTACCAAATTAGGTATTAATCCATGTTCTAAC